GGCAGCGCGTCTTCGCAAGCGGCAGCTCGACGCCGACGCGCGAGCCGAAGCGAGGGAGCTCGTGGCCATGGCTGACGAAGAGGCGCTCGAGCAACATCGGCTCGCTGCCGTGCGCCAGGCCGACGAGTATTCGAAGACGCTGCGGGCCATGCAAGCCGCCGACGAAGGTACCGCGACTGCTATTCGTACACTGACTGGATCGCGTTGCAGCATACAGCAAGAAGCTCGCGGACCGCCTCTTTGAAGCGCGATCGCGTAAGCTCATGCACGACGAAGAGATGCGTCTCCGGCGCGTCCTGCGGGAGGCGCGCCTCCGAGAAGAGTACCATGAGCGCAAAGAGCGCCGCTCGATGCTGGCGGAAGAGACGCACATGCGGCAGCACCTCGCCGACGTCGAGAAGCGCCGGCTCAAGAGGCTCGAATGGACCCGTCGCGCCGAGATGTGCGTCGAAGATATCCGTAGCCACCAAGTGCGCGACCTCGAAGCGTCGGGAGCGCAGATCGGCCTCGTGTTCTGGCGACCGCTCGAAGAAAAGACGCTTCAGGCCTATGTCGCCGCGTACCCAACGCTCCTGCGCTGGAACATTCAGTTCATCCTCTTGACGACCGGCGTCCGCGGGGACCCACCGTGGAAGAATGTGACGTGGACGCCGCGTACGCTGAGACGACCATCGACAGCCCTTTGATAGCCTTTGTAGTGGTGGCGCCAGAAGCGACGCATAGCCCGTTAACCCGCGCACAAGAGCGCTGGCTGCGCGTTCGGTAGGAACCCATCGATCTTGCTCCGAAGAATGCAGCGTTCGAATGGTGTCGACAGACAACAGTACCTGCCACGCACCGATGCCAAGCTCCTCGCCAAGCAAGGCTATGCGTGCCTCAGTGCCGGGGACCTTGACAAAGGTAGTAGTACGCTTGCAATGCATGAGAGCCATCATGGGATGTAGCGCAAATCAAGCTCCGGTCCGCCTATGAGACCGGCTACAAGGGTGCGCAGGTGGTGCGCGCGATCGCCAAGTGCTACGTACAGCTCTACGAGCGCCATTACCGCGACCACGATATCCGCATGGGCCGCGTGTGGTACACGCAGGCCAGCAAGCACGTCGAGTTCTCCATGTCGCCTTCGTTTCTCATCGAATATGCCCAAGTAGAACGCAAGAAACAAGGGATGTTCTCACCCAACTGGAATATGCATAGGCTCTCTACCTCTCGGGGGCACTCCAGCACGCCGCCGAGGTCCTCGCAACGGTATTACACGACGACCATGTTTGAATTATCCATAATCAACGGGGTCGTCTAGGTCATTTCGAGCTTTCCGACGTTCGAGCAGCTGCCCCGTGTCATCTTCCGTGCGGCCATGCTCTTGCTGTCGCTCGAGCTCTACGACCAGAGCAAAGACTACCTCGTGTACCTTCTCGAGGCGCCGCCGCCGCCGTGGACGGACGCCGAGCTTCTCTTTATCATTGGTCGGCTCTACACCCTCGAGCACGACATGCGGCAAGCGTCGTTGGCCTTTGACGATGCGTACCGCCGCTGGAAAGTGCAGTGGGCCTCGTCCGGTCGCCAGTTGCAGTTTGGATCGGCCAAGCTCTGGCTCACAAACGCGGGCGTGTGGCGCGACCTTGCCATGAAAGCGCTTCGCCACCGCGAATATGTGCTCGGCAAAGACTTGTTTCAGCAAACGATCAAGCGCCGCGTCCGAGAAGCGCAACTTGATGGCGAAGACGAGAGTCGCAGGGACGCGTGGTCGCTCGACTGGTTCCACCTCGCGCAGTGCCACACGGGCCTTTGCGACAAGGCCAGTGCCGCGATCGCTGTCAAGCACTGGCTGCAGCAACACCCGTACATGGACCAACTCTTGTACAAGTGCCAAGCGTGGTCACCATCGCACTGGGCCCATATCGGGCTCACGCTGCGTGACGAATACCGCCACGTACACGCCGTCACGGACGTGACGCGCCTCGAGACCGTCATCACCAAAGTGCCGCTGCACGAGAAGCGGCTGAAGCAATTGTGGCAACGGCACAAGAAGAGCGTCCAGCAGCCGAAAAAGAAGAAGCGGACAACCGCCGAGCTCCGCGAGTGGCGCGCGGTGACCGACCCCAACAGCCACCGCACCTTTTACGTGCACGCGACGACATTCGAGATCGCATGGGACAAGCCAATCTAGTTCTTATCGTGTCGTCTTAGTCAAAGACTTTGGTCGCGTGCGACTTGACCGTCGCCAGCACGTGGGCTTGGAGCTTGGTGACGATCGGGCACGGCGGAAAGGTAATGTCGCCGGCGTCGTAGATGAGGTGCTGGATCGGCAGCACAAAGCGGGACGTGCTCGTCAAGAACGCACCCGACCAGCGCGGCGCGTCATCCATGGACGGCGGCGTCAAGCGCACGGGAATCGAGAGCGCGTCACAGGCCTCGAGCACGAGGTCGCGCATCGTGCCTTTGAGAATCCCGTCGTCGGCCGTCACAACCGTCTCATCCTAGCAGCATCGAGTAGTGACGTCGAGGATAGCGTGCATGTATAGTCTACTTGGACGACAAAAAAGTTCGACTGCGACGCTTCGTACAAGAGACGCGTGGACGGCTCCATGAGCACGAGCTCTTCCGTGTCGGGGCGCATGGCATCGTAGAGCGCTTGGCGGTCCTTGGCCCATTGCAGATCCTTGACCTAATGGCGTTATCGGATGATAGAACTTTGTTGCACGAGACGCTCCGTACGAGTGGGTTCTTGCGCGGCGTGCCTGCGACCTCGACCTGGATGTACTTGCCTTCCTTGGAGCCCATGAGCCCAATGTGGCACAGCACGTCGCCTTTGCCCTACGTGTGCCTGTCGTGTAGCGTGTGGGCCCTCTTCGAGACGCGCACCGGTTCCTGGATGACTTGGGTCATCGACGTCGCATCCGCGCTCGGCTGCATGACCAGCGTCAGCTTGTACTCTTGGTGCGGCGGAAACGTGTTGTCGCGCTGCAAGTCTTGCATGGCGGCACGCAGCGTCGAGAGCACGCGCGGCTTGACCACTACCAACGCATGAGCTGGCTCCACCGTCATGACATCGTACGCTTGACGAGCTCGTCGTCGGACGCATCCTTGACAATGCCTGGCGTGGGCTGCACTACAGATACAACGTACGTCGAGTCGCAGGCGACGCCATAGGCGAAGCTACCGAGGCGCTTCAAGTGGCTCTCCAAAGCAAACACAAACTTGGATTGGACCGTGCGGGCGCCGCTGTAGACGCCTAGTAGCCGCACGCAGCCAGTGAGGTATCGCCCATGACGGCCGTGCTACCGTACCCTTGGGGCAGGCGAGGATGAAGGCCGAGCCGTCCTTCTCGCACGGGATCGCGACGCCGTTCTTGGCCGCGGCCATCACTCGACGCATCGTCGTATTTCGATCCTTCGGGGTACTTCCCAAATAAAGCTGTGTTTCAAACCGCTGGTGTTGGATTCGGGTTTAAACACATGTGGTATGCATGTTTGAAACGATTAAAAGCAGCTCTATCCGGCGCATGTACGGATACCAGTTCACAACCCGACTCGGCAGCAGCATGCCGGCCGACACGACGGCCTCCTCCTACTACCTCGGCCTGCGCGTGGCCGTGGGCGTCCTCGTCGGCTTTGCCGCCGCCCGGCGCGGCCTCAAGAAGAAGTCGCTCGATCACTCCGGTGCCATTGCTGCCTTCCTCGTCGGCGCCATCTCCATGGCCTGCGGCTACCGCTTCGGCATCCTCCTCCTCGGCTTTTACTTTTCTGGCTCCAAGCTCACGACGTTCCAAGAGGCGCGAAAGGCCACCTTGGACGCTGCCGTCAAAGAAGGCGGCCAGCGCAGCGCGCGCCAAGTCCTCGCCTGCAGCCTCCTCGCCTGTGTTGTCTGCGTTGTCTATGCCATCGGCTATATCGACGACGCACCGCTCGATGCGTCGACACGCCCGACGGCTACGTTTCTCTGGGGCTGCTACATTGGGCACTATGCTTGCTGTGCCGCGGATACGTGGGCGTCGGAACTGGGTGTGCTTGCGCCGGCTGCGCCCGTCCTCATCACCAACTGGTGCAAGCGCGTGCCTCCGGGCACGAACGGCGGCGTCTCGTTCGTAGGCACCGTCGCGTCGGCGGCCGGTGGCGCGTTTATCGGCCTCCTCTTCTACGTCTACGGCGCCATCTTCTTGGAGTCGTCCAGCGTCCCGCAATGGCCGGCGATTCCGTTTGGCCTTTTCATGGGCGTCCTCGGGTCCCTCTTGGACTCGGTGCTTGGCGCGACCGTCCAGGTAACGTGGTACGACGAGTCGGCCCAAAAGATCGTGTCGGCGCCCGCAACGCACGAGCCTTTCGCCTACCGGCACGTGTGCGGCTACGACATTCTGTCGAACGAGCAAGTGAACCTCGTCTCGGTCGCACTCACGACGCTTGGCAGTGGATACGTCGCCCAGTACTTCTTTTAAGCATCCGGCACCATCAAGTCTCAAGCTACTGCTTCGATACATCCATGTAGCGCATCGAGGTGAACCGTGGGATCTGTCATGCGTGGAGGATCTCCTGATAGTTATTGTACAAGACAAGAAGTAACCAGGACCATGCAGAGACGAAGGTGTCTCCTCGCCCTGGACCGAGTGCAGGCATTGTTCGGAGCGCAGGTGGGCTTCACAACCCTGCATATCTACAACGCCAACGAGATCATCTCGGTACGGCCTTACCTGAACCCTCCTGCGACGGTTTGAATGCTCAACACATCGCTTCGTCGAGAGTCCGCTCGACACATTGTAGATGCGATTGTGTTGCGGGCGACGACTGCAATTTCTCGGGTTGATGAAGGACGCTTGCTGCTTGGGTACACAACACGGAATGCTTGGTAATAACATTCGACAACCTCCATCGCGCCCTTCGCACCAGTTGGAATTGATTCTCGAGCGAAAAATGCATCAACAACAAGCAGTCCACTTCGGATGATGGTAGTGGCATCGAGTCCACGACGCTTTCAAGTCAAATTCAACCGTGTTGGCTGGCTGCATCGTCGGTTGTTGTTGCGGTACCCCAACGAGGACGATTCATGGAGAAAGTAGCAAGCAGCTCAATGTATTTAGTTAGAACCTCGAAGTGTCTACGTATACATCGTCCGAAGGGTCCAAGACATGCAACCCTCCGCCGCCTGAATCCGATTGTGCGGTTGGCTTCAAGCGCCCTTTTCCCTCCACTTTTTTTTACGTCGTAGCACCCAAAATATTAATGCAACGCTCAAATCGTAATACAAATATTAAATAGAGTGCACGCAATACTAAAGAACGACCACCCACGCTAAAGATATAAGTTCAACATGAACGCGCCAATCAGCGGCCAGCGAAGGTGTAAAGACCGTTTCGTCATCATTGGATCTTGGCCGTCGGCAGCAAGCGGAGGTCGAGAGTGGCATGGCGCGACCCCATGAGCAGACGCTCTTGAAGCGGTCCGCCGTCTACTACATGCGCTTCTGGCTCTACATCACGGGCCTCCAGGTAGACAACCTACATGTGCATGAAGCCGCTGCATGAGCGATGCGTAGTCGCAAGCTGCCTTATGGCGCAACTTGCTCCTCGACTGGCGCTTCCGCGGCTCGACCAAGGAAGGCCTCTACGTGCTAACACGCAATCTGCTGCATCTGCTGTGGCGCTCGGTGCGTCTTCTCATGGTCCCGGACGTCTTTTTCCGGTACTTTGTCGCGACCTTCTCGCTGCAAATGCTCTTTGAGCTCTGGCAGCTCGTCAAGCAGCAGCTCGTCAAGCTCTGGCTTCAAACGTCCGCCAAAGGCCGCCGCAGCCTCAAGTTGCGCACGGCGCTCGCAAAGGCCAAGACGCTCGCAGAGCGCCAGACGATCGGGTCGGAGCTCGATGTCATCGAGGGCCACGACAAGTGGCGCAAGGACCCGTCTGCCGGGCTCTTCCACTACGAACGCGTCCAGAAGAAGATTGCCATGTACCGCCGCCTCATCGCCGAGAAGGACGTGCTTGGCATCATGTTTTCGCTCCGCGCGGGCCTCTTGCGCAAGCACTGGGGCCTCGGGAACCCCGCGTTGTACGACGTGAGCTACAGTACGTCGGTCCTTTTTTCTTGTTCGTCATGAGCTCACGCAACGTGGGGTAGTCGGGACCAAGCACCTCGTCGACGAGTACTTGGACACGATCCTCGAGTCGATGGACCTCGTTTTGCGGGCCAAGGGCACCGAGTCGACGCTCGGGTCTGCCGATGACGTGAGCAAGCAAGAGCTGAGCATTGACAACAAGCTTGCGTTCTTCAGCGAGACGCGCCATGCATTTGGGCGATCGGCGCTCATGCTCAGCGGCGGCGGTGGCCTTGGCTTGTACCACTCGGGCATCATCAAGACGCTCGTCGACGAAGACATTCTGCCGACCGTCATCTCGGGCGCGTCCGCAGGCTCGATCGTCGCGGGCTGTGTCGGCGTGCGCACGGACGACGAGCTTCGAGACGTACGAACGTGTGGTTTGTATCGCGTACGACTCGACTCAAGAGATATTTGTAGCTGTTTACGACCGAAGCACTCAGCCTCCGCTTCTTTGGCACCAACGTCACGGCCAGCGACATTGCGCAGTACACGCCGTCGTGGCTCGCGGCGCTCGAGGACGTGCTGCCCAACCAAGCCTTTCGCAATGTGCAAGAAGCCTATGTCGTCGCGGCGCGCTTTCTCGACAAGGGCTACATCCTCGACAATGCGATCTTGAAGGAGTGCCTCCAATCCAACATGGGGGACTTTACCTTCCGGGAAGCGTACGACCGAACCGGGCGCATTATCAACATTACAGTCACGCCGTCCCAGTCCACGTACGAAGAGCCATATCTTACCGCGTTCGAATCCGCATGGCATCGTGATGTAGGGATTACCCGCAGCTACTCAACTACCTCACGGCGCCCAACGTGCTCATTTGGTCGGCATCCCTCGCCTCCTGCGCGATTCCGCTCGTGTTTGCACCCGTGGAGCTGCTCGGAAAAGACCAAGTACGTCGCCGAGGGTCGCAATAAGATCTCACTCGCCTTAGCATGGCAACATTGTGCCCGTGTACCGAGAAGGCCTCAAGTGGAGCGACGGCAGGTATCTATCCTCGCGCCGTTCAGTGCCTTTGGATACGACGTATGGTTTCGGATAGTGTCGAGTGCGACTTGCCCATGGAGCGTCTCAGCGAGCTCTTCAACGTCAACCACTTTATCGTGAGCCAAGTCAACATTCACTACAAGTTCATTTCGGGCTATGCGTCGCTGGGTGGCGGCGACATCCTCGGCTTTCTCAAGAAGCAGATGAAGGCGTACATCAAAAACATTGCCGAGTTTGGCCTCAACACGTCCGTGCTCAAGTTTTTTGGCATCGGTCTCGTCCCGCTACTGACGCAGGTGCGGACGTCGAGACATTTGCGATTTTAAACTATATCATTCATCACGAAATGGGTTAGACGTACGAAGGCGACGTGACGATCCCGCTCGCGTCCCAAGTGTCGTTTCTTGAAATGTGCAAGCGTGTGCTTGTAAACCCGTCCCGGCGCGAGTTTGACTCGCTCGTTCTCTCGGGCGAGCGCGCGACGTGGCCCCATCTCTCGCGCATCCAGACCATGTGCCGCATCGAGTATGCCCTCGAGCGCGCCGTGCGCTACTTGCGTGGCGAGCAAGCGATCGAAGACGAGAAACGCACGGGCGTGAGCAGCCTCGGCCGCGTCCCGTCCTTCTACACGTCGTCGAGCTCGATGAACCTCACGGGTCTCTTGCCGCGCAAGCCCAGCGGCGGCCAGCTCAAGGACCCGAGCCCGAACGGCACCAAGTCGGTGATTCGCCGCAACAAGTCGGTCAACGTCGCGGGCGCCGTCATGACGATGGAGTCGAGCTTTAGCTCGTTTGGGCGCGCGTCCAACAGCAGCCTTGCCGACGCCAGCACGTCGTAGATCATTTTGCTTTTACTACAATCCAAACAAGACGACGATCTCAGCTCCTTCTACTGTACTAGTACGCTTTACTAAGTACAACCAAATGGGTTCAACCCGCCCACGGACAGTAGTAGGATCGTCGTGGTTGTTGGATGGACTTGGCGTGCCTCGTGCGACCTCAGCGATACGACCGATAAATCCACAGCATTCAAAGGATCATAGATCCAAGATCTGCTTCATTATTCCAAGATCTAAGATCTATCTATCTATCTATCTATCTATCTATCTATCTATCTATCTATCTATCTATCTATCTATCTATCTATCTATCTATCTATCTATCTATCTATCTATCTATCTATCTATCTATCTATCTATCTATCGATAATAGCAGAACGGTTACCACACGCGGGTAAGCTTGAAATAGGAACATCGCTGTGAGCGGACGTGGGAAACCGCAAGATACAGATCCGACATGAGCGACGACGAAGGGACACGGAGCCTCCAAGCGTTCTGCAGCCGCTTCGGCATCGAGGTTGAAGACGACGACGATGACGTTGAGGAGCTCGACCTCTCGGAGAAGGAGCTCGCCGAGCTGCCGCCCGACCTCTTTGAGATTGATGCGTTCTGCGACGCGCTCAAGACGTTGTGCCTCGAGCGCAACCAGCTGCGCGCGCTGCCCGATGCGCTCGGCAACCTCCGCGCAGTCACCGAGCTCTACCTCCGCGAGAACCAATTGACGTCGCTGCCAGCGTCGATCGGCCAGCTACAACAGCTCGACTCGCTGTACCTCGAAGACAATAAGCTCACGACCGAAGGCATTCCAGACGCCATGCGAACGCTCTCGCAGCTCAAGGGCCTCTGCCTGCACCGCAACTGCCTTACGGTGCGCATTGGCATGTACCAAGTGGTCATCATGGCACGGTGTAGTCGGTGCCGCTGTCGCTGCTCGCTCTAACGTCCCTGGAAGAGCTCTACTTGGACAACAACCAGATTGAGAGTCTCCCGGACGAGATCAGCCAGCTCGTGCATCTCCGAGAGCTCGACATGCCGGGCAATCGGCTCAAGAGCCTGCCGAAATCGTTCGTCCAGCTCGCAAAGCTCGAGATTCTGCACCTGGAAGGTACAATCATGTCCTGCAACACGGAGGAGGATGACGCTGTGGACTGCAGGCAACTGCCTCGAGACGCTGCCAAAAGGGCTCGGCGGTCTCGTCGCGCTGCGCAAGATCTACCTGCAGGACAATGCGATCACAAAGCTCCACGCGTCGCTCGGTCGCTGCACCAAGATGGAAGTCATCAACATGGAAAACAACAAACTCACCAAGGTCGCCAAGCGCATTGGAGACCTTCCAAAGCTCAAGCACCTCTTGCTTGCGAGCAACAACATTGAGACGCTGCCATTCAACCCGTACGAGAAGGCGCCCGGCCTCCGACGACTCACGCTCAGTGGTAACAAGCTCGCGCCCGACGTCCTCAAGCTCGAGCACCACGTGCCTTTGGACGCGGCGATTGCAGAAGGCGACGACGAGGGATGATGTAACCCGTGTAGTACATATCCTCAAACACCCAAGTATATGTACATACGTACGTCATGGTCCAGGCAGCAACAATTTGGAAGTGCACGACCATCCCAACAAGCATTTTTTCTGAACCCATATCAATCGCCATGCACCATGGAGGTAAAAGACATGATGGATAGACACGGGTAAGAGGACATCGAGTCCGATTAGGTAAAGAACGAGCACGTGTCGAGGTCGGTTTTAATCGGCGAGAGCAGCACCTCGCGCTTGAACCCGGGAAACGCATCCGTCTTGCGCGGGTCCTCGTGGAGGTACTGGTTGCTACGCTGGTTGTTGTTGTGGCCAGGACACGACGACGACGATTTGATGCCCTTCTCCGTCATCTCGCGCTGCTGGGCGACCTACGACATGCAACATGTCTCTCTACATGAAATACTTGCAAGCGGTGGCGTACGAGGTAGTTGAACGCTAAGATCTGCTCTTTCAGCTGCAAATGCGCCGTGTACGCGTGAAAGAAGGACGGGTTCTGCTCCTCGAGCTTTTGCCACACGGTGCGCGTAAACGTTGGGTCGACGTTGGCTTGCGCCTACAGAGTGCGATGAGCTTTTCTTCCATCGTCGCCGCTGCATATTGCCTCAAGCGTCGAAATGATGTCGGCCTACGTGCAACGTCAGAGATGATCGCATACGAGGTCGAGGTGTCGTACTACCTGGGACATGCACTGCTGGAGACACCGCTCGATGAGGTTCTGGACGCGAAGGATCTCGTTCCAGTTGAACGCGCCGGCTTCGTTGGTCGGCGGCGCCGGCGTCGACTGCGGAGCGTCGGCCATCGAGGAATATCGAAAATAAGATTTCTTCTTTTTGCGCATGACGAAGGGGCGCCGAGGCTTCGGCCTGTCCCACCAATGGCACGAAAAGACTCTGTTCAAAGTGGCGGATGTCGATTTGTTGGCGCTCTGGTAGGCTCGACGTCGGTCCGAAAGAATCACACGACAAACGTGACTTGTACTCGGCCGCACAGCTTGGCCCAAGCCAGTTTGCTGTTGCAATATCGAGTAGTATTCTGTACAATACAGTGCATTTGTTGCCTCGACAAGCGAGGAAGTAAAGAAGTCGCCTATTGATCGTGCGGGAGTCGCTAGCTTTTGAACGAGCACCTCTCAACGAGCTACTATGTAGCGAGCCCAAGAAATGAACCGACACACCAAAAGGTCCAGGTCAGAAATCGAGGCAGAAGCGCATAGTTACAGGGGAGCATCTACTGCGCAGTGTGATGACACCGCAGCTCCGAGGTAAACTGCGCTCTTCTATTCGGTGCTGTCGGTGACAAGGGCGCATTTGGTCGGGTACTTTGTCGAAAGCACTCGACGATATATTAGCAAGTTGTTCGCTTCTTTAAAGTCCGATGCCAAGATCGCACTTAACGGGAATGATTTCACTTAGATGCGACATAGTTCGGCCAATTCGATCGCCGTTATGAGCCGGCATGGCGAGGCAACGCTGCCGTCCGCCGAAGCCCGCGCCGTGCAGGAAGCGCTCCTGTGTACGTCCACGATGAATCTCCTTGGTCTGTCGATGCAACGATGCAATCGTAGCCAGCAATTATAGCGATTTCCTCTGCAGCGTGTGCAGCAAGTTCGCGACGCTCAAGTGCTTGGCCTGTCGCGGCGACTACTACTGCGCCAAGTGCGAGCGCAAAGTGCACAGCAAGAAGCACCGCAACGGCGAACCATTGGCCGTCGTCCACAGCAGAGGTACGTCATAATATGTGCACAGTATCTTGTGGGTCAAGCGTCAAGCGCCGTAGCCTGCGACGTCTGCCACGCGCTCAAGCTCGAGCTCTACTGCGAGGCGTGCACCAAGCACGTGTGCATGAACTGCATTGCGAGCCCATGCAGTTCGAGCTTGCCGCACGTGCTTGTGCCCATGAACGGTAGGTCTACTGGAAGCATGAGCACTCGAGCCATGGATGACCGACTAGGTGCTCGCGGCTTGTGCCTCGCAGTCATCGACTGGCCGCGCGACTTCGTCGTCGCCATTCAACGAGACACTGAACAGTACCTGCCCGTCAAGGTCGAGAAAAAAGAGCCCATCGCAACGCCACCAGCACCCGTCGTCCCTCCGCCAGCACGCATCGTCCAGCCGCCACCAGCACCGGTGGCCCAACAGGCACCGGTGGCCCAACCAGCACCGGTGGCCCAACCAGCACCAGTGGCCCAGCCAGCACCCGCGGTACCCGGCGCCGACGCTCCGTCATCCATGAGCGACCCGGACACGCTGCCGCACATTGGCTCCGACTCGATGAAGGGTGCAATGCTTAGCAAGTACAATGCGGCCAACGCCGAGGTCATCTCGCTCGAAGAAAAAATCAAGGTCCTCGCCAACCAAGTGCGGCTCGAGGTCAACAAGCATGACATGGCGGTCGCGCTCTCGTACAACAAGCAACGCAACGAGATGCAGGTCGCGCTCGAGACCGTCCTCGAAGCGCGCGACGAAGCCCTCGCGCACCTCGTCGCGTTCAACCCGCTTCTCCACGCACAGTATCAAAACACACACGACGCGACCAAGCCCGAGTACAAGCCGGTTGTCGCGACGCCGACCATCGTGCAGCGCGTCGTGCCCGGAAAGCACGCGCGATGCGCGCGCCTCGAAGCCGAGATCCTCGCGCTCGAGACGCAGCGAGTGCGTGCGAACGCAGAGATCCACGCCGCCTTGGCGCGCGACGACATGGGCGCGCTGGACCCGCTGGGCCTCGAGATTTTGGGTCTCGAGCGGCAAATGCTGGCCCTCGACGCCGAGCGCAACAAGGAATTTCTGTTGCTCACGGTCTTTAGCAAGCGGCTGCGCGACCGTATTGGAACGCTCCACGCATAACGTGCAAGTATTGTCGTCGTCTGGATTCATCTATCCATCTACATGGCGCACGGCACGTCGCTGAGAGGCATGTTGACGACCGCCGACACGATGGGCACGCAGCTGGAGTGTAATACTCGCAACGACATCGAGGCGACGAAGACGAGCCTACCTGTCCTTGCCGCACACAAAGATGTAGATGCTGTCGGCCGCGCCCGTTGCGTCGATGCTCTCGACGTCGATCGCGTACGCGTACTGGACGCCCTACCACAATATTCGTGAGAATCTTGTGAGAAGCTCAAACGAGACTACGGGCAAGAGCAGCGGAATCTGCAAGAGGCTTTGCGGAATGCGGTACAGGCCATGGTCATAGTGCAGCGCAATCGGGATGTCTGCGACAAACTTGGCGCCGGAATTCTAACCCCGCGGTTCAACCACGAAGAGGATGCGACTTTTGCGACGACCTGCAACTGGAGCTGGATCTTGAAGTGCGGGCCGAGACCTTGCACTTTGGCGTTGAGGCGAATCGACGCCCCCGTCGCAAACGAGACGGGGCCCTACGTAATTTGAAACCAGGTAGTACGCTTTGGACATCGCGCTGTCTGTACCTGGCCGTCGCGAATGACCTTGACGTATGACCGCACGGTCGTGAGACGGAGCTTGCACAAATCCCGCTACGAGAAAGTACGTCGAGACGACGACTCGTTTTGGGGTGTCCTGCACCTGGAAATGGCGGTGCATCTCGATCGCGTGGTCCCGCTCGCGTTGCGTTTGCTCGACGTACAGCTTGGTCTTCTTGGGCACGTTGAGCGGAATATCTAGTCGTTTGTCGATATGACGTGTTTGAAAGGCGGGTGTACCTTGCTCGGGGGGCGGCCCCGACGACGTTGACGTGCCCTACACATGTATTTTGTCGTGTCTCTGAGCAACGACAACAATTTGTACTTCCAGATCCGCGTTGCGCTGTAGAATCTTGAGTGTCAGAGCCCCCGACTAGGCAATGATGATTGATCTATCGGCGGCAGGAACCGAAACCATACCTTGTGCACGAGGACAAGCGACGCTTCTTCTCGGCCAAACTGGCCAAAGACCATGCCTGTGAGGAGGCTGTCGAGGTGGAACGACGTGACCTTGATCTTTTCATTGTAGAGAAGGATCTCGCCCTTCCGGAGCGCGATCAGAATGCCCTTCGAGTGTTTGGTGCGGCGAAGGTTGAGCGCCTCCATGGCCACCACGTCTTGGGGCATAATCATGGACCAGTTCTTCTTGCCCTGTCATTTTCCATGGGTTGTATCAACTTGATACACTTTTGAAACGAGAATGTATATCGTACCTTGAGGTGGAAGGACGAGACTTTACGGTCCATACACGCCACAATGATGCCCTTGTCCATCTGCAAGAGCGCGCATGCGGGCGACTCGAGCTCAATCACACTCTTGAGCAGCTCGCCGTTCTACAGAAAAAGTATGCGACATGTTCAAATGGGCGATTGCATGTCCTACCTTGACCGTGTACACGGACCCGTTCCGGCACGACACAATCAGTCGATACTCGACGTCATAGAGTCCGTTGACGGCAATTTCAACGGGCGTCGACGGCAAGAATGCTTTCGCCGCAATGTTGGCGCCTTGTTGGTCGAGCACGTAGATCTAACCGCCGGTCCTCTCGGTGTTTTCCAGTGGAAGAGAGGGTACCTGGCCCGCTTCGGTGCCCACGACGAGACTACGCGCGGTGCGTCACACACCGTTGTCATGCAGCAACGTCGTACCATCCAATCGCGTCCTTCTCGTCCATGTTCTTGCTCAGCGTGGTCATGCACGTGATGGCCGTGTGCTCGACGAGCGGGTCGTCCATGTACCTTGTCGGAAGATGATGCTCCAGTGGATCGGATTGTATCAGGAGTATGTACCGCGACACAAACTCGGCTTGCTGCTCCATGTCGTCAATCGCGAGAAACCCACGCGAGCGCTGCGTCAGTGGCGTGCCGCGGCTCCTACACCAATGCATGGAGTGTTAAATGCTTGTTGGATCGAAAATATGGAGCGTGGAAATGGGCACCGAAGGAGGTTGAGCTGGTGCACGGCGCCGACAATGTCGACCTCGCACTTGGCGAGCTGGCCCCAGAGCTTGGTTTCGTCCGGCGACACATCGAGCGACGGCAGTGTGAACTTGTAGTACGGTCGCATGTTGCGGTAAATGTAGATCGAGGGGCCAGAGGCCACCGCAATCGACGGCGTGCGTGGCCGCGCCGCGTCTAGAACTCTCATCGTCCTTTTGGTGCACGCATCGTGGATATATCGCACCCGAGTAGAAGACGCTAAGTGCGACGGGCTCGCCCAAGACGGCTTGCTCGCTCAGGAGCGTCGTGCCTACAAACGCGCTGTGCAGCTACCAGAGTAGAGACGGCGACGCTCGAACCTTTGTAGAGTTTGAGCCGGCGGTCGGCGTCTGCAATGAGCAGCTTGTAGTCGCCGTCGCCGTAGACGTCGGCGAGCTTGATGCAACTACGCAAGCGCTTGTTGATACAACCACGTCGAGCAGGCCAGTCGTACGGCGAGAACGCCTTGATGCCAGCCACCGCGTTGTGGTGCGCGTGGAGCCATGGACCTAGCTTCATGGTAAACCCACCCTTTGCCTGCGCCGTACTCTTCTCAGCCTTTGCCTTTTCCGGGACCGCCGTCGCCGCATTCGGCTCGGCCATTGTGCAGAAGTGAACCGACGCGATCTTGTATCCAATCCGTGGAGCCATAACCGCTAGGGACACGTGGCAGCACGACGCAGCGCCTGACTTGCCGTCCCGCACATCGTCGTCGTCCGAACGACCAGCCTATTACTATACTACAAGCAAGCTCGAGCACCTCAAACGTGGGCTGCTAGGGTGGCCGACGACGATGCATGTCGAGCGGTCGGGTCTATCACGACAGGCGCCTTCGTCAATCTGATCCTTCGCGTTCCTATGCCCCTCGCCAGCGACGGCGTCGTCTTCTTGCTCTTGGGTCATACTACTACACTCGTGCTTCAAGACGTCGTGGCCGTCTCTGCATGCTTGCATATACGATGGCGACAGCGAGAACCATACATTTGGCTCTCACCCACGTTTCTGCCTTGAAGCGCCGAGCATCTGTGGCCACCGGAGCAGGTATTGGTGCAGAAGGTACACGCAGCGCAGCCAACACCGACTTGCGCGCGTTGCACGAGACGTTGAAGCAGCAGTGCCTTTGCATGGCGACGGGCGCTCGTTCTTCGTTGCTTCTTCTTCAAGTAACTGCAGGAGCGAGCGTCTGGTTTGGCGCCTTCAACAAGTATTCAAGCACGTGGCCCTTTTACAAACCACTCTCGGTACTACTCTGCCCATCGGCCCTCAGTTGTCGTCGTCACGTCAGCACGACAAGATCGGCAACGTCACAAACAATCTGTTTGACGTCTACTGACGACGTGGTTATGGACAAGCGATTCTTGACCTCTTCGTTCTTCTTCCTGGCCGCACAATCCATTCCTTGGAAATGGTATATGGTAGACTGGTCAGGTGCAAGTTAGGTGCGCCAGCGTGACACGCAGCAGTGGACGGTCCATGCTTGCGTAACTCGCACCCAGCACCTTGTCAGGATCACATATGGCGACGGACATCTGATCCGGTTCCGTTTGCGTGGTGGCGGTGTCGCCTTCAACAATTTCTCTTCTTCCCACGTCCTTTCTTCATTTGCCAAGTCGCTCTCAAGATGGCAAGTGACGCGTACGCTACGGTGCAGACTCCCGTTGACGGCGCGGCGCAAACGAGCATCGCCCGCCCGCCCAAGTCAATGGTGCGCCGGCTGCTCTCGTCGCTCACCTTTTGGATCGTGCTCGGGACGATTCTCGGCGTTATTCTCGGCGAAGTCGCGCCGTCCTTCTCCAAGTCGGCGGCGCCAATGGCCCAGATCTTCCTCCGGCCGATCCAGTTTATTGTGTTCCCGCTCGTCTTTTCGTCGCTCGTTGTCGGTATCGCCGGCAACGGCGACCTCAAAGCGCTTGGCCGCCTCTCGCTCAAGTCGTTCATTTACTTTGAGATTGTGACCACGCTCGCGCTCATCCTTGGGCTGGTCGCTGTCAACATTGCGAGCCCCGGGTCGTCGATCCCGCAAGGAAAGAACTACACGGGCAAGCCGTCCGACTCGTTCTCGTTTGATCTTTGGATCAAGCACTTGACGCCCAAGACGTGGGGCGAAATGATGGGCGGCTCGGGCAGCTCGGAGCTCCTCCAAGTGCTCGTCGCGTCGATCCTCGTCGGTGTCGCGACCGCCATGACGGCCGAGCACCACAAGCGCGTGCTCCTCGAGCTCGCGACGGCCGTCATGGAGATGATGTTCAAATTCGTCGACATTGTCATTTGGACGGCGCCGCTCGGTGTCTGCTTTGCGGTCGCCAACGCGATCGGTGCCAACGGCGTGAGCGCGCTTGGCGCGCTCGGCGCGCTCGTCGTCACCTTGTACGTGACGCTCGTGGTCTTCATCGTCGTCATCTTTGGTGCGATTTTTGTGCTTTTCAAAATCCATCCGCTCGAATTCGTCTCGGCGATGCGCGAGCCACTCGTGATCGCGTACACGACCGCGACGTCCGAAGCCGCGCTGCCCAAGGTGTTCGAGGCGCTCGCAGCGTACGGTGTCTCGCCGCACATTTCGGCGTTCGTCGTCCCCTTTGGCTACTCGTTCAACCTCGACGGCTCGACCTTGTACCTCTCGCTCGCGGCCGTCTTTTGCGCGCAGGCGACGCACATTGAGAAGAGCGTTGGCGAGCAAATCGTGATGGTCCTCATGCTCATGATCTCGTCGAAAGGCGTCGCTGGCGTCCGCTCGGCGAGTATCATTGTCCTCGCCGCGACCGTCGACCAGTTCAACATCCCCAACTGGCCGGTGACGCTCATTTTGGCCGCCGACTGGCTCATGGACATGGCGCGGACGTTCACGAACGTCTTTGGCAACTGCCTCGCGGCCGTCGTCATGGCCAAGCTCGAGGGCGAGTTCCGCAAGGATGGCTGGGAGAAGGCGCTCGAGGTCGCCAACGACGAAGACGAGCATGTCCTTGTCGACGACGACAAGCACACCGTGTAACTATTGATGTCGTAGTACGCATCGTACGCGTTTTCTTTATCTAACCAAGTGCAATGTGTCTTTACGTACAATCTGTCTGTCTCTCGAACGACTGAACTATTAGTACCATGCTGCTCTCCCGCCGAGACCAAATACAAAACGTCTCAAAATGCGCAAGTGGCTTATGCAATTCGATGGCGAGCGCGATGGTGTCGATGGGTGCTACGACTACAAGGGTCCACGCCGTGACAAGAAAACGAGTTTGATTCTTTTTCCGCCGACGACTCAGACAAGCTTGGATGCTTCTTCCCCAAAAACACATAGCAACCCACACGTCTATGGAACTAACATCTAGCCACGTGCTTGGATTCGACGACAGGGGGTGCGCCAGCTAGTTTACGGTGCTTTTAGCAGCTACGCCGCGGGGGTCGATCGGTGGTGGCGTCCAGGGCGTCGGAGCCAGGGCTGACCCTCGGCGCGCTGCGTCTCGACATTGTCGACTTGCAAAGCGCCGATGGGGTCCTGGCGCCGCCCGGACGTCGCGCCAAAGCGGCTGTGAAGCATGGCTTGTATCGCTGGCGTCGGTGCCTCGTCGTACGCGGTCCAGCCGCATCCGTTCTTGTGCTGGACGTCGACGCCCGCGTCTACGAGCGCCGATACAATCTGTTGCAATTTGCCGCCCATCGCGCTCTCCAACGTAGTGCTGCACGTCAAGCGCAATCGCATTTGTTTGTCATCGACGTCCCGCGTGTCCGATGGCCGATGCGCCATGCGTCACCAAGAGCGCGATCAGGGCCACTTGGTGCTGCGGCGCGCTAGCATCGTCACTGCATATGAACATGGCATGTCGGCCAGCCCCGGCTGCGTACCGCAGTGCCCACACGAGTGGTGGCTGGCAGAGCTAAAGCATCATCATGATCCGAGAGGGTGCAAGCACGAGGCCACGAGGCTGATTGATACCTCGCAATTGCCCACATTGACCTACGCCAACGCTCATAAAATATGCATCTGGGAAGGAGACGAGTACGCTGGCGACGGCGCCGGCAAGCAGTAGCATTTTGACGAGCTTGAGATTGGCGAGGCCGCATGCTAGCCATCGGCATGAAAAGCCATCCGAGATGCGGTGCGAAGGGTACCATAATGCAGCGGCGTGGCGCCGGCCGCGGTTGCCAAGCACACGTCCACGTCACCGACCGTGTTCAAGAACCGAGCCCGCGGTGTCGACTACTCGCTCGACATTGGCTCATTGCGATAGCAGCAGGATTCTAGTACGTAGCTCCGTGCGTTGGGGTCGGCGCCGTCTTCGAGCAGGAGCTGCACAATCGGCAAGCGCTCGTGCAGCACAGCCACGTGGAGCAGTGTCTCGCCCGCCTGTAGCATGTCGGCATTGCCGCCCGTACTACATGGTCAACAACGCACCGAATTGACGCCATTCGCACTCGCCCCCGCGCGCAGGTAGGCTCGAAGCGTTGTCAAGTCACCGAATTCGATCGCCCTGTTCACGCGCCGTCAGAAGCCTCGCGCGCCAAGGCCATTCTACCGCGTCAGCGTCAGCGGCGACGCAAGCACCTGCCGCGCTGCGCCGCATGGGTGATGTTATCAGACGTCAAGTACGATCGTAGAATCGGCGCACCTGGCAACTGCGACTGCTCTGCCTGTCCGTGCAGAAAGCTACGACAAGGAATACGCTTATCAACGTGGCCGCCAACCCAGACGAGCCGACCGTCGGTCTTCATGGCCGAGAAAACACTAGGTGGTGGTCCAAGCTACTAAAATGCTTGCAGCCTGCCTTACATGAACGTCGAGGTCGGCGACGCGGGCGTCGTTGCGGCGCATGGTCTGCAGCGTGGCCGTGTGGCCATGTTCGTAGCGCTGGCGCGCCCAGCGCTGCGACGCTTCACGCTCCATTGAAACGTCGCGTGGTGCTGTGTACGTTTCGGCTGCCGGACGGTCGCCATGTCGTATCGAGGGACTCGATATATTACTAACCACTATAAGGAAACACTAGAAAAAGGGCTTGGCATCTAGGCGCTGCCGCCGACGAGGATGTTGTTGATCGGGATGTGCACGAGCTTGACGAAGAAGCCGATGAAGCCCATCATGAGGAAACCAATGCTGGTGGCGCCGGCGATGCGGGTGAACTCTACACAGACAGCGCATGAGCATCTCATCTTCGCATGGTCAGGATGGGCGTACCCTTGCGGTCGGGCTTGGTGCACTTCTTGACGAGGTGGATCGAGTTCTTGGCAAAGGCCTTGAGCGGCTCGATCACGATAGCGTTGACGTCCGACATGTTGCGAGGGAAATTCCAAATGCCACGACTGCCGTCAATCGAGGTTTCTATTTTCACTTCGCATCCAGCATTTTAGCCAATCGTAGGCTTCGATTTCGAAAATAGATGAATTTTTGACCAATCATGGACTGCAACGTAGGGCCACACCCGTTGCGAGCAGTTGGATCAAGTGCGATTGGTGAGTAACCGAACTTATTCGAGTCGAGATAGCAACAACATGCAAAGCTTGAAGTCGACCAACCGGCGCTTGCAGAGACGACAGCGGACAAGCTTCACAAGGAGCGTACTAGCACTGCAAACGATGCAACGGAGAGGCTTTTGAAAATGAAGCGCGTACAGGACGTCCATGCGTGTATGAATCGGGCTCCACATTGCATCTGGAGCGATCGTGCTTGGAGCTACAGTAATAGACTTGTTCCGGCGTAAGAGAGAGAATGTAGCGATGCGCAAACTCGTTAACGACCTTGTCCTTAGCAGTGTACTTGGCTGTAGAGAAGGCTAGCAATGTGTCTACGCAAACACGGTTCATTCGAGTTCGCAGCACGCTTTACTGCACCCTCGACACACAATTCGCGAGCGTCCGCACCAAGTGTGGTGCCCATGGAACCGGTTTTTACGATTTAGCTTCAACTGCATCGGGCGAGGGCTCATTCAACGCGTTTGGCGTAAACCAGAGCACGTGTGAATAGTCTGGCGACGTTGTCGTTCCTGCCTGGAAAACAAGGTCAGACTACGGAGCAATGATGCGACTGGCATTTACCGTGCCCTTCGCTTCGCTAGCAATGGGCCGCGAGTGCTTGGCATGAGCTCTACAGAGTGGAACGATGCAAATGATGCTAGCCAACGCTGATTCGGTGTCGCATTCGTCCTTGGTCGGCTACGTTGGAGAAACATAGATCAACAAGGATCCATTTTATGGACCTTGCTATTGGATAGCCTAGGTAGACTCTGTTGAGGCCTATCCTGGTGGTATGCGCTGCGCTGGGGTCTTAATGCATCTGATCTTCTCAGCGCACTGTCGTTGAGAGAGTCCTAAGGAGTAGCCACCGCTTGCCCAGTAGCCTGGTCCGTCGCCACTCGTTGCAATGACACTACGACCGAGACTGCCAGCGCAACGGATCTCGCCGAGACAAATGTGCGTCATCCATAGACACTTGCTTAGACACTTCTCGAGGCTCTTCCAGTCGAAGCCGCTCGCACATCACACTGCTTCTTCCTTCGTCCGACACCAGCGAAATCGAATCCTTGGCTGCTCCAAACCATTATACCACGGGCCGTCGTCGTTATCGCGATGCATGTTTCTACACACAATTGTACAGCGTATGTATTGGGTCACTTCGGCTGCATACGCCGTGTCTTCTCTACCATTCGGCTGTCAATGACATGAGGTCCTTGATAAAAAGGACCATCGAGTTTGGTACGAGTGATGGCTTGGTACGGACTCGAACGTTGCGTGAGCTTGGCTTCTTCGCTCGCTCGGGTACAAGCAAAGAGCGCTTGGGCGCCGCCGCTTCGGGGCCGCCATTGAATTTTGAATTGCAAGTTGAAGCGTTGCTGCGACAGGCGAAGTTCGAAGCCGCCGATCGCACCTTCACACGAGGCGACCAATGAAAAAAGCTTCGAACTTCCGTTGTGACTCTAAATTGAAACGGTGGCCCGCGAGCGAGGAGCTTCTAGTCATCAAAACACCAGCTTCTTGTACATAGCCATGGCGCAGCAGTCCCCGTTCGCGACGTCCGAAGAGCCGATCCGCGCCCGGTCGGGCACCGTGCCCATGATGAGCTCGCTCACGCGCGGCGAGTCCGAGTCGATCCCGATCTACAAGTTTGTGCTCACGGGCGGCCCATGCGCCGGCAAGACGACGTCGCTCGAGCGCCTCTCGACCTACTTCCGGTACTCCTCGCCGCGTACGCTCGCCATGTACCACGATGGCCCTCTCTAGTGAGCGTGGTTTCCGCGTCTACATGGTGCCCGAAGCCTCGACCTTGCTCCAGTCGGGCGGCGCCCACTTCTTGTACGCCACCATATTCCATTCGCAATCCTTCGCCGCGGTGTCTAACGAGCGTGCCGTAGGGATCTCAAGCCCACGGACATCATCAACTTCCAGTGGGCCATTCTGTCGACGCAGATGCAGCTCGAAGACACCTTTATGGCGCTGGCGCGGGACACCAAGCTGCCGTGCGTCATTCTCTGCGACCGCGGCGCCATGGACGGCTCGGCCTACATGGACCCGGAGGAGTGGGAAGACCTCAAGCTCCAGCACGACCTCGACACGGTCACGCTCCGTGATACGTACGACGTCCTGGGTATGTCATCGATGGCGCTGACCTAGCAACATATGGCTAGTCGCTACAACGCGGTCTTCCACCTTGTGACGACGGCAAACGGCGCGCCTCAGTTCTACACGCTCGACAACAACGGCACGCGCATCGAGACGATCGAGCAAGCGTGCGCGGTCGACGAGCGCATCTGCCACGCGTGGATCGGCCACCCCAAGCTCTTTGTCTTTGGTGCATCGATTGAAAGCGACGTCGTAGCAGCTCGCTAAATGTTTCTTGATTAGACAACTCGACGGGCTTTGAGAGCAAGATGCAACGACTCATCAACTGCGCCGCGACGCTCACGGGTCTCCCGTCGACGGTCAAGTCGTCCAAGAAGTTCCTCCTCCGGTCGCTGCCGTCGCCCGCGTCCATGCCCGTCCACTGCGAAGAGTTTGAAGTCGAGAAGGTCTACCTCATGCCCCACCCGAGCGGTACGACTGCGCCCATTCGATTCGTTGGGTGAAGCACTGAAAGCAGATGGCCCGGACGACTATGTCTTTGTGCGCTGCCGGACGCAGTACGGCATCCCCGTCTACGGTATGACGACGGTCCGCACGATTGCGGGCACGGGCGAGCCGTACGTTTCAATGTTTCAAGTGGCGTCGGTGTTTGATCCTTCACGTAGGGTGCATCTCAAGCGCGTGCTCTCGGCGCGCGAGTACACGTACGCGGTGCGCCACCGCGCCGACCCGAGCCGCCGCATCATCAAGCAGAAGCGCATCTGCTTCTTGTGGAAGAACCAGTCGTTCAACATCCACATCTACAAGGAGCCTGTCGAGCTCGCGAGCCAGGGCATTGTGCACATCCAGGCGAGCATCGAGTCGACGGCGACCGTCATGATGCCGGGCTTCCTCGACACGGACGAAGAAATGGACGAGTCGCACCCTCTCTATACGGGCTACCACGTCTCGCTCAAGGAGATGGACATTCCCAACGTCCTGTAAGCATCGAAACGACGGAGCTTGTCCGTATGCACATGTTTCGAGTTGTGCTTGCAATGGCGCAACACGACGTGCAGCGATGCAGTCGAGGTCGACACCGTTGCCATACCATCATACTGGTGCGTTTTACGACGCCATGACCGTCGCTATCTCAGCTTCCATGGTGATGGCATGCAGCCAAGAAAGTGCACAGACACTGAAGAGTGAGTCGAGGGTGAAACTAGGTGTGTCTCGGCAAGATGCAGAGAGACTGTAGATAGGATCGTCGAGAAGAGACTTGAACGCCGTGTGATCGAGACGACGCCGCCGGTGAGAGCTGCAGCACTGAGGACCCTGCGCCTCAATGACGTGGCAGCGGGTCGGCGCATCATTTTCTGCAACTGCAAAGTCATCCATTCGGATCAACACTCTTTTTCACATTGATCGTGCTCGTCTGTCGCAACCGTATCGCTACTTTTTCTTCTTTTTGGCTTTGGCTTCGGCTTTCAAGCGCGCGTCATCCTCCTGCCACTTGCGCGCGACCTCCTTCTCAGCGATTTGCTTTTGGATACGCGCGTGCTCTTCGCACTTGCGCCGCGCGGCGTCAATCGCGTCGCGCTCGTACTGGGCGTGGCGCGCGGCCGCGTTGTCGTCGTGCCACTTGGCGATCGCCTCGGCCTTCTCGAGTGCGCACTTGGCGTCGTATTTGGCGTCCGCGTCGGCGGCCACTTGCTTTTTGAGCGCATACACTTTGGCTTGCATTCGGTCGTGGACAAGTCGGTTCTCTTCGAGCTGAATCGCAATGATCTCGAGCTCCTTGTCCGACATGGCATTGCAGCCAATGTCTAGATCATAGACATGGCATTATAGTCATCGTGCCAATAGAGTCGACACACCGAGGGCAATCACCGACTCGTTGAAGAGCAGCGCCTTGGAGAGCATCCGGCCAGCTTCGACGTTGAGGCCGCAGCGGAAAAAGTTGACCGACCGCAGCGTCGTCGTGTTGCTAAAGACGTTGGCGCAAAGCACTTCGAAGCCCGAGAGGTCCACTGCGTTGTCTAGACATCCGCATGAGGCGTGGCCAAAAGAATGATGGAAGGAGGAAATGATAGTACTATGGCTCGTAAGCGGGTTGGACTCGAAACTGATCGACGTGAGCACGTTGTTCGCGGCGAGGGCCGGTCCGATCACGAGAAGCGACGGCGAGTTCAAGTGGTTGGCCCCCAAATCGAGTGTTTGCAGCGACCGGTTGTGCCGGAGGAGACTCGCGATCGCCTCGGCGACGCTTTCGCTAAGCGCGTTGTTGGACAGGTCGAGGGTCAAGACCGATGTGTTGGCTTCCATCGCGTGCAGAAAGGCGCGGCACGTCGCGTCGTCCACGCCGCGCACTGTGAGACTCGCGTTCGTCTCGTGCGCGAGCACCTATCTGCGGCTGCAGGCACCGAGTCGTCGGTTCCTTGCATACCTGGTCGACGAGGATCCGCATCTTGGGGTTGGCAGCGAGCGCGGCCGTGTCTTCGGCCACAATGCGCTCGGCGCGCGCCGCCATCTCGTTCTTGGTCTTCTTGCGGCGGTAGCGTTCCATGATCTTGGCATACGTCGTCATTTGCGTGTTGAACTCGTCGTCAAATTTGCGCTGCAGGATCACGAGCGTGTTGGGAATGCTCTCGTGCGCGGGAATGCCGTACCGCATCATCTAGCAGCAGAAGGTTCACAGGACGATGATGGTAGCATGGAAAGCAACGCCTATGAACGGTTGTACGCACGTACCTCGGAGCGGATGTCCTCGATGCTCAAGAGGTTGGCTTCGCGCCGGTGCGGCTCCTCGGGCAGCAGGTCCATCGCAACCGTTTCCCGAATGACGTTTGAAGCGTCGCTTGGCGCCAGCAAAAGAACGATAGTAGCATATGCACCTGCCGCTGATCCCGCCACCGCCATCGCCGCCCAAGGACGTGCTGCCACTCACGAATGAGCCCGTGCTGCTTCCAACGCTGAATCTGCATGGTATGCCATCCCCGCGTCCGCTCCCCAAGCGACAGCAGTTGCCCACATCCTCGTATCTACTACATATATTGAAAAGGAATGCCCTTCATGACGAGGTCTAGTGTGGTGCCCATGACGACGCTGCACAAACGCCATGCCAGCCCCGACGTCACATTGCACGTCGACGACTGTCACAACATGGCGGTGATCGCCAGCGCGTTCGAGGACTCGCTTGTGTGTTGACCTGACTGCAACCTCGGCGGCTCACGGCGCACAACGCTGTAGCGCGCGATCCGAGCGAGCGTTGCCCGCATGGACGCCACGGTCCAAATCTTTCAAGACGAGGTCATCGGATTTGCAAAGATAGGAGCAACGATCGCCTGCGTAGATGGCCGACGCAGACGACATGGTCCAGCTCATTCGGCTGCGCTGCGCGCACGCCCAGGACGTGTTTGGACGACTTGTCCACACGAGCGCCCTCACGATTCAACGCTGTCTGCGGGGCTTCTTTGGGCGACGTACTCTCTACGTAATGTCTCGTTGGGATGCATGCATGTCAATCTAGGGGTCTTTCGACGCTGCGTCTTTGATCGGGCGGCGCGCGCCATTCAGCGCATGGTGCGGCACCGTCGCGCGCGGCGTCTCGCGCACTACACCGTCTTCAAAGCAACCATGGTAATACTCCTCGATAACCCGATGCGCCTTACGTTAGCGGAGGCCAATACGATTCTCGGCCTCCGGACGTTCAACAAGTACATGCGGGCGCACCCCGGAACGGATCCGTCGATCGTGTACGGCCAGATCCGCGCGTCGATCAAGATCCAGCAGCGCTGGCGGGCTGCGTACCTCACCGTGCGCGCGCGGCACGCCGAGATGGCCGCCGTGCAGCGAAAGGACCGCGTGCGGCAGCGCTTCCAGCGGTTCCTCTCTACGTTTGCGCTTGTCTACAACATTGTCCGGTACCCCCACATCGTGCCACGTCATGTTATCGATTTCGTAGCTTTTGGCGCCGCGCCACGATATTTCATTACTTTACAGTGCCGACCTACAAGGCAACGCGCCACAGCATCCTCTCGGGGCTCCAGCACTGGCGTCACGTGGCTTTGTTTCGCCCGACGCGGCGCAGCGCAGTCTCGTTCCAGGGCTCGGACGCCTTCTCCAAGGCCGCCCGCGCCATCCACGCCGGGTCGTCGTTTGGAAAAGAGCCCAAGGTACACGTCCCTTTCACTAGTGCACGAACGGCAATCTCGGACAGGCGTGGTATGCGCGGCACTCGGTGCGTATGATGGACGACCGTGGCCGGCGCAAGTCGACCTTTACACCGGTCGTCGAGACGGCCGAGCCGACGCTGCAACTGCAGTCGACATGCCGCACGCTTTCGCTGCCTGGCACGATCGCGCTTGGCGAGTGGCCCGGGCCTGATGACAGTCACGACGTGCCGCTCATCGTCGTCACAACCGCACGGCCCTCGGTGACGACCGTTCCGACTGAGTTTCACTTGTCGACTTCGCGCACCAAGCCGGCAAAGGACCCGGTTTCGCGGAGCGTCGCCCGCGAAAGACAAGTACAGTTTGCTCAAACCGTCAAGGACGCCAACCAGCGGCGCCGTCTCGGTGGGTTCCACCTCGAGACGACACCGATGCAATTTGGCATTGTAGCTGTCGTTGCAGCCAGAGCCAAGAAGGAGGTGGCCGCCAACGAAGAGCTCCGTGCTCGCCAAGCAAAGGCCGAAGCCGACAAGATCCAGCGTGTCGAGCGCATGAAGCAGCTCGAGGTCCGAGTCAACGCTTCTTGTGCCGTCGTTAAAAAGTCGCGTCTGGATAGAATAACCTCGAGCAGCGCCGGCTTGCACGCCTTCGAGAGCAACAGCGGAAGCGAGATGAAGAGGTTGCCGCTTCAATGTGCTGACACCACCTTATCGTATGTATAGACACGTCTCCAAGCGGAACAAGCCGCCAAAGTCCAAACGGCCCAGCTAAAAACCGCCGACCACCTCAGTTCAGCCACACGAGGTATCCAACGCCGGCGCACAAACCTGACTCCGGGAGCGAGCGCACCCGAACTCTCCGCAACTGAATCAGAGACTGGCAACCAGTGCGACGACCCATGACATGTAAATATCTGGGAAGGAAGTGAGTCGTGCTAGTCTTTGTTGCTCATACAGTCGTTGAGGTACTTGGGTGCTGCAACTGGCCGAGACGAATACGGGGCGTGCGAGCAAGTGCATGGAAGGTCTATGCACTGCGATTGTCCTGAGCACACGTGGCAGCGTGGAGACGTTTGGTCGTTGAGATTCAGTTTGGTGGGCTACCGGTACTTGAGGTTTGGGTTGGTCGTTGAGGTTCAGTTTGGTGGGCTACTTGAGGTGAAGGGGCTCGTGGGACTACGAGCGAAAGAAGGAATCTCGACGACCCTTTCCAAGGGGCGACTAGGTATCGAACTTTAAGAAGCAGCCAATCGCCGCGCGTCCAAGCACCGTCCAAGTAGCGTGAAGAAGTGTTCTCATGCATCGCAGCCCAATCCTATCGACATTGGGCCCATGCATGAGCTGGCAGTCTCTGACGGCGTGGGATCGCACGTTGCACCTCGCATTTCACCCAATCGCACGCGGTGCGCGCGTACCAGCTGCTTCTGATTGGTCCCATTCCTTCCGCGTCGCTGATTGGGTGAATTATTTTCAGCGAATCACACGCGAGCTAGCGACGTGGGCGGCCGAAGCCCAGCTCGGCCATCGCCATTACCTGGCGCACCTCGAAGCTGCGATCTTTGCACTGTTGAAGCATGGCAAGCCAAGTCGCCGAGAGCTCGCGCAGCATGCAGCTGCCATGCGCCGCGCCGTCTGCCGCGTACACGCCTATCCTCGTCAACATGAGCGAGGAGCTGGTACGACGCATGCCGCTGGCGCCGCCTCTGATGCTCGGTAGATCCTCCTGGTCTTCGGCTATCTCACGCCGGCGTCGATCCTCACAACCATGTACGTTGCCATGTCCTTGCGCTCACGTACAAAGCTCATGCCATGTAGGCAACTCTCCAAGGAGTGGCGCGACATCTGCCGCTCGGACCGCCTTTGGTTGCCGCTGGTCCGTCGTCGCTGGCAGCTGCCACCGCGCATGATCAAGCTGCACCGCTACGGCGTGCACTCGTACCTCGGGCTGTACCGGCATCTGCAGATCTCGGAGCAAAAGCCGTATGGTCTCTACTCGACGGCCGTACGCATCGCCTCTTCGACGCCAGCGCTCATGCGATCGTTTATCTCATAGGACAAACCGACGTGGGGCCACAGCTACAACGGCGGCGTTGAGACCTGGTAGACGCAGGTGCTACACCTTGCAGCGTAAATTACCTCTGTCGTAGGCTCACGCTCGGGCATCGCGCCGACTGCAAGACGCTCCCGATCGGTGCCAAGACGTACGTCCAGCTCCGCGTTGTCATCCAGAACCTCTCTTCCTCGCATGTGCACATTGACGCTGCAGCCATCCAAGTACACTACAAGGACGGGTCCAAGCGGTCGGCGGTGCGTTCTGACGTTATCGTCGTCGTCCCTGGTTGGTTGACATGAAAGGCGTGTAGGTGGCGCGCCACCCGATGGCGCATGCGATGCTTCGCATGGAGCCGCGTGTGCTCGCGTCCAATGGCGTTGCCTCGGCGCTTGAGGCGTCGATGGTCGAAGGACGAGCCGTGCTGCGGTTCATGGACTATTGCGTGGTTGGTCTCTATGTCGAGTGCGACGACGGCTGCGTCTTTGAATCCGACTTTCTGGAGCAGTAGGTTTTGCTGCTATTATACCTACGAGCCTCTCACGTGGAAGCTAGTGCGTTTGCCGTGTGGGTGCCAATGAAGCGGCGCGGCCATTGCAACGACCTCTCTCGCTGCCGGTGTGCGCTCATTCCGGACCATTACCACCACTTTGGCTCGATCTTGAGCATCGTCGACGAGTCCATCATCTGGTCCCGCTACTCGGAATTCGCCGGCGGCTTTATGGTGCTCAACTGCAAGGACCGCCGACACGTGGGCGCTGCAGGCCACGGGTCCCCACTGCCGACGCGCTACCTCCTCTAGTCTTGTCTTCCTTTCTTGATGTAAGTCCGTACTCTAGTATACTACGTGTAGATGAGAAAATGTACTACCGACAATTGCAGTTTTCAATTGACCAATTCTTGCGTCCACCTTGGATCAGAATAATAGCTACAGCACACGTGCTGATGGGACTTGAAGTCACGACGACGACGACATTCTGCGGTTTCTGCACCAACGCCAGATAAGAGAGTTGTGCGACCAAGAAATACGTGTACATAGAACGGATTGCATGTCTCGATGCTATCCCTTCGCCGCAAGTGTCGATAGGACCTCATGGCTCGTACTCGGTGGAGGCCGTGAAAAACCCAGTAGAGAGATCATCCGTCATCTCGTCGCTTGGGTCGACGAGTCGCTTGGTGACGCTGGGTTCGGGTCGTAATAACGTGTCTTGCTTGCGTAGTGCTGCAGTGCTGCTACTGCCACGAGGTGTGGCTACTGCAGGTCCTACCATCAAAGCGCCTTTCGATGAAACTCATTCTTTGCTCGTGCAGCCTACCAACAAGCGTCGTCACGACAAGAGGCGGTCCGTACTCGCTCGCACCGTGGAGGCTCACCGCCGCCACTTGAATCGAGTATGTTGTTTCCGGTGTCAGCTTGACCACGGTTGCTTGCAGCGGATTCGTCCCCGCGAGCTGCAAACGGGTCTTCTTTCCTGGCGCCGTCGCTTTGATCTTGAAGCCTGACAGTGGCAGCGACTCGTTGAGTTTCGAGGCCGCGGCGGTCCTAATGACGTGCTATCAGCATCATATTTTCGGACGCCTCGTCGACCAAACAATCGTGATGGACGTCGCGTGGACGAGCTTTGCGTCGGCGCGCGGTGGCGGCGACGGCTCTAGTGCGGCATCAGAACGCTTCGCAAGCTTGAGAAATCGACTTACTCTCGCCGCGGATGGCTCGAAATGTATCGAGGACCGCCATGGACGACGTCACGTCGATGGCGCTCAGCAGATGCTACACATACGAATCGTTCAACACATCATCTCGTGGGTCGGCCCGCCACACCTCGGACTCGCGCAGCTTGGCGTCCGCACCTTGCTATTGATTGATGGTATGTGGTCTGGCGAAGCAGCGTCGATGCAATGCGAGTACCTCGAGAAGGTACTGGACGACCGACGTGTGTTCTTGCTGCGAGGCGAAGAAGAGTGCGGTGCACCCTACCGCGTTGGTCGCATTGATCTTGGCCTTCTTCTCAATCTACGACACATCCTTGCCGTCGCCATGCCAATGTCGCGTGGTACCAAGAGTCGACACAGCGGGAGGTGGCCTTGGTACGCCGCATAGTGCAGCGGCGCATTCATGTCCTATCATGCAGTATAGGTACATGTGGAGAATAGTGTCATCGCAGGACGCACGCCAAACTCGGTCGCATCGCGGTCGTTGACGACGTCGTGCTCCAAAAGCCTCTCGACGACCGCGACGTCGCCTTTCCAACACGCGGTGTGGATATCGACGTGGTATCGCTGCTGCCCGAGCTCCTTGAGCCGACTCAGCGCCTTCTCGAGCTCGCCCGTCGCGCCGTCGCCGTCCAAATCGTCCCCAGCATGCCGCCACCACGCTGCAAACTCATTCTACACATCGAATAGCACACCACTTGACAAAGGTCGGCGGCGAACGTAGGAGATGACACCGTTGCCGTCTTTGTCCAGAAGCTTCAAAGCGGCTTGAAATTCATCTGGCGACAGGATCCCGCCGAGGCTTTCGACGAGCTCGACGAGCTCGGTCGTGTCAATCGAGCCGCTTCCGTCGGTGTCAAAGGCAGCAAACGCCGCTCGGATCGTCTCGTCGTCCTTGGGGGCGTCCTCCAGCGGTGCCATTGCAACTGGCAGTTACACCAATCGATCGCTGAAACCATCGAGCCACCGTGACGCTCTTGCATGCGTTCGATCGCCAGGCATGCATCACAGGCACGGGATTATTGATATTGGATGTTGTTGTTCACGCACGACCAAGTCGTCGTCAAGTACTAGTAGTACATACTACTGCACAAACGACAACGACATCATTGTATTCTGGGTATCTGGTTCGCACCCAAGTCCGCAGCTACTACTGCAACCACTCTCTGTTCTCACGAACCGGAATTTAAAGCGTCGTATAATAGTATCTTGAATAACCACGTAGCACCGGCGCCACTACGCGTCGCGTTCGGGGGCGTTTCTGAGTTGTCATGCAAGCAGGCACCCAAGAGAACATCTTGGCATGCACGCATGTACTCAGCATGTACCTGACGATATACATGCTTCGTTACGCCAATATAGCCTTACGAAAAGGCCATGTCCCGCACGTCTTGTCTGCGTTGGTTTCGCACGAGATTTGAGGTCCATTCGTTTCGGCCTGCCTGGAGCACACTGTACATGCCAACCTCATGATCCGAGAGCGTCTCAGGTTGTTCGAGTCGACTCTACTAGAGCTCAAGCGGACGGTGCCCATCGATCCAAGCCCAAGCGTTGACGCACGCATGTCTCCATAGACCGAAGGCTAGGATCTTATTGATGTCTGCTGCGATGCCATTGCGATCTTCGGGCCAAAAATAGGTCGCGGCAACACGGTGCGCAACCGACCAATCAGAGCGAGGCTGGCCACCGCCTGCTTTTTATTCCGCAGCATAATATTATACCGTCGTGGCCATTACACTTGGGTGTTGTATGGAAGCGCCGTCCATGAGCAAAAAATACGACTGGCTGGTGCAAATTATTATCATGCGCTGGGCGTTCGGCGGAATCCAAGTTGCCAGTCGGACGCAACAGCAGCAGCAGCATGGAAGACCGCATGGCCGCGCTCTCGGTCGGCGACCAGATCAGCGTCCTCTTCTTCATCGCAGGCCACTACCAGCGCTTCACGGTGCGCGCGGGCATGAAGGTCAGCGACGTCATTGCGGCCATGGCCAACGTGCTCAGCACCATGCACCCCGAGGCCGAGGTACCCGTCTTCAACGCGATCCGCAACAACAAGACCGCGCGCTTCGTCGCGCTCAACGACTCGGCCATCCGCGCCCTCGAGCCCGATCAGATGTACGACATTGTGTACACGGACAAGGCGGCCAAGGTGCCATTGCCGCCGCCGTCGAGCGTCGACCCGACCCTCGAGTTTCAGATTGTCTTTTACAGCAACCCGCTTGGCATTACCATCAAGCCCATGGGCGACCGGTACGTTGTCGCGACGAAGAAGAAGAGCTTGGACTGCTACCGGCGACTGGTCGTGGGCATGGAAGTCGTGAGCTGCGGCGGCGTTGCGCTCGCCGGCGTCGACTTTCGTGAGCTCCACTCGATCATGGCCAACTCGACGTTCCCGCTTACGATGCGCTTCCGCGCGGCCATGAGCGACCGACATGCACACGAGATGGGCGACGATGCCATGGAGGTACGAGCTTCTACGGGCGCAGATGGTCCATGTCTCAATCGCCCCGCGACAGGGCAACCAAGCGTCCGAGCGACAACGAGCCGTCGACACGTTCAACATGCCCGTGCCCGTCATCTACAACGACGATAGTTCCGTGCACAGCATGCGTCGCCGCATCAAGGACGCCGAGTCGACGACGTCGTACCCGTCGTCGTTGCCGCCGATGCGCCCGTCCTCGGCAGTGCCCGATCTTCTCGAGAAGGAAGCCCGCCTCGAAGAAACCCTCAAGAGCCTCCAAGAGGCGTTCTACAAGAAGAAGAAGGAGCTGGACGAAATCGTCGAGCGCATTGGCCAGTACTCAAGCCAGCTCTCGAACGTGCGAGCGACGATGGGCAAGGCCGGTGCCGACTCCCACGCATCGCCCAACACGCTCACGCAGGAAATGCTGCGCAAGATGGACAGCGCCAAGACGCCACTCCCGCGCAAGAAGGGGCCGGCCTCCGTCGTCTCCAACTCGTCGTCGACGTCGGCGCGCTCGACCGGGTCGTACGCCCGCCACATGCATCCGTACCAGCCGGCACCCGCCAAACCGTCGTCGCGCATCCCGACCAAGCCTGCGATGTCGTCGGCGGCCTCTGTCTGCTCGCTCACGTCGACGTGCTCGATCGACCGCATGGCGTTCAAGAAGCCGCGGCCAGCCTTTCCCGGCAAACCGGGGGCGGCCGGCGTGCGCAAGACGCCAACGACGACGCCGTCGGACGCGCGCCGGGCCAACGCGGCCAACACGAACGCCTTCTCCAACACGTTTCCAAGCTCGTTCTCGACCAAAGGCGGCCTTATTTCGCGCGCGCAGACGCCCCGGGGCGCGTTCTTGGTGCCCAAGACCAACACCCCGGGCGTCGGGCACTACGACGTGAAAGACCTCTCCAAGAACATCAAGGGCGGCGAGATTGGCGACTCGGACCGCGATTTGCACTGGGCCTAACGGATTTGTCTGCCTCGTGGTTGTAGTAGGATGATGATGATTAAGCTTATATATGTCGACGATAAATAGTTGGCGTCCCACGTGCCATAGCCTCTGGCCCTTTTTCCCAATGTGGTTCATACACAAAAAATCGAGCGGGAATCGTGGGGTTAGAGCTCCGAGACGGCAGTCGGCGATGTTTCGGCCTGGCCCGGCTTGGTGCCGTGTACCTCGTAGTGCCGGTACACGTGGTGGTAACACGCTTCAATTTCGTGCCCCGCGTACCCCGTCAGCGCTTCCATCTCGGCCCGCCAGACAGGCCTAATCCACGTACTCATATGAGACTTCTGGGTCTATCGACGGCACGGGACGACGTGATGCTCAAAAGGCGCCGCCCGACGGCCAAAATGGCCGTGGCCACAACGGACGGAAGGTACTCGAGGAACGCGTACTCGGAGAGGCAGAGGTCGGCGAGGAACTCGACCAGCGCACTGTAGCGGTCGACGAGCTCGGGCTTCTCGGACAAATGCCCCAGACGTAAGTCGTGGATCGCATCGTCGGGAAAGAGCGGCGCCGACGCCACGTAAAAGCGTACAAACGACAGCGGGTGCAGCGCCGTGAGGGACCAGTGCAGCCTACGTCGCGCGTGAGATCATCGAAGTTCCAAAGTCTCTCCAGCGCACGCTTGCAAGAGACGGGCTTCGTAGAGCTTGATGTCGTGCGTCGAGTAGAGGCCGTTGGCATACGCGTGCATGTCGTCCAGCGACGGAATGTCACTGTCCAAGGCAAACGTCTTGGCGGCAATGTACAGACAGCAAAGGCAGTAGAGTTGGAGCTTGGTTTGCGGCGGCTTGTCGCCTTCCTATCATCACCGAACTTGTTTGTAAATGAGGTAACACGAAAGCAGCAAAATGGACAGACGCTTAGAATGCGGTCGAGGTACACCACGGCCGTGTGCACAATCCACTTTTCGAGGTGCAGTGCGTCGCCAACGTCGCAGGTCCAGTCCACGAGGACGCGTCGTGTCTACACCCAGCGTCCTTGATGTCGAATCGCTTAGGCGTTATCGTAGTACCTGTACATAGTGAAAGCTTGGGTTGAACGCGACGCGGAGACGCTCTTGGTGCAGCATCGTAGTGTACCAGTCGTCGGCGAGGTCCAAATCCGCGTCGTCGAGCGGCAAGTACTTGGAGGTCTACGCAAGCAGCAGCGACGCCTGAGTCTCTAAAGCGGTAGAATGACAAGCTATGGTTGGCGCACCTCGATCGATACGAGCTCTTCGTCGCAGCAGAGCTCCATGAGTCGGTCGTGCGGTCAAGTGGACTGGCGTGTTATAACGCGTTCGGTATCCGGACCAGCACATTGCACTTTCGAGTTGCGCATCAAACGGGCTGCACCAATCAAAAGTGAGAACACCGAGCATATTGCTTGTGATTGGTCGATTTGCCAGCGCGTGTGACAAATATGCGCCAATGAGAGCGCGTGCTGCTTCGACGCACAAAGGTGATTGGCGCTTCGAGCCTAACATCCGCGCGCGCGCGCAACACCCGCGGTCTCAGAAACCAAGAAGTTCTGGCGCGCGACGAGAACCACACTAGTGAAGTCGGCAAGGGCCAAGGGCCATGCGAACCCCGTGATTTGATCCACAGGACAGTAGAAACTGAGCCACCGACATATTTCTACCCTACTTCGTTGCACTAAAAACATGATGGGGCCGCGTTAGTATGACGTCGAATATATTAGCTTTTACTGCCGACCACGCTCATACGTCTAGTCGTCGAGTTGGCTGAGCATTGCAACGCCGCGGGCAACCCAATGGGCCTCGGGAAGGTGCGACGGAAGCCGGATAAAGCAAATAAAGTTGGTCGAGTGCCCCGTCGTCGAGAGCGTACCCCGGCGCTCACTACGACGACGCCTTTGTCAGATTCTGCATATCATGCATTCAGTCGCACCTGGTTTTATACACGGGGCAGTTGTACGACTTGCGAATGACGAGGTCCGACTTCTTGGTCGGTCGAAACCACAGCACGGGGCCGAGCGTGAAGAGCACCTTGGGCAGCGACTCGGTGAGACGCGACTCGACCTTGTTCCACCGACAGCCTTCGAGGAAGAGACCACGGACATACACGCCGTCCTAGCACATTCCTCAATACATGCCTCGCTGCATCGGTGTGCGCACCGTCGGGCCCGTCGTGTAGTCGGTGCGGGGCATCGGCTCGTGGTCAAAGGTGATTTGATCTAATCGCGCAGAGATAGATGGTTTCCTGCACTCTACGACTCGCATCGTACCGATCGGGATGGTGTATTTGCGGGCAAAGTTTTGGTTGGCACCCGTCAAAAAGGCCTGCGTGAAGAAGAAGCCTGAGATCCAAAAGATCGGCGGCGGCTGGTCGTTGAGCCAGTCGGCGAAAAACGAAATGCGCTCGAGCAAGTCGCTCACGTAGCTCGGGAGGGGCTTCAATGACGGGTACGACTTGGCGATCCACATGGCCGGGATTTTTCCGTAAAACAGCGACAAACTCACGTTCTCGAGCTCGGCCGACATGACGACAAGGCCTTGGATCGCCTTGCGGAGACTCTTGAGCGAGCTCCGGACGACCGAGAGAAGGTTGTTGAAGCGCACGAGCTCTTGGCACACGACCGTGTTCATGCTTTCGTTCCATCGGACCGGGTACCGAATGGCCGCGAGCTCCATATCGTAATTGTCGGGCAGCCGCGACAGAATGTCGGCCGCCATCGCGTCGACGGTCTCTTCTTGGCTGAGGCCCTTGGCGTCGCCGCCGCCGCCACCCGTCGCTTGCGTCTGCAGCACCTTTGTGCACAATATTGTCGTCTCGTTTTGGTCTTTTGTAATGGTGGCATTGTCATGTAGACCAAAGACGTTGGGCGGCGCGACGAGCGGGAGCCCCTCGATGAACGCAAGGAAGCCTTCATAGTCCGTGTCTGCCGGCACCACGTACTGCGACCGCTCGTCAAAGCTGTAGTCGTCCTTGAGAATGTCTGTCGCGTAGAAGCGACCAAGAAGACACGCCAGCGTGCGCCGGTCCTTGTCGTCCGTGACTCGACCGCCGTAGTTGCATTCGCCCGTGCAATACCTACGTCGTCGTCGCTAGATATTGCACAACATATTGGTATCGTACTGGAGAGCGCGCCACGGAATCGCGTCGTTCTCATCGACAAACATGGCGAGCTGGCGCGTGCTAATGCTCAGGTCGGACTCGTTGAACTCGTACTGGATGTTCCAGCCCAATGGGCCAAACTGCCGGCGTTCGCGGACGAGTGCATGGAAAAAGCAGAGCGCGTATAAAAGCCGGCGAAATTCCTTGCCCTACACAGGAGACTCGTCGTCTACGGTATCGGGAGCAGGATGTTTGTCGAACCTTGCTCACCGACTCGAGGAACCCGCGCTCGCAGATCGGGTCGAGAAGGTACGAGCCGAGGAGGTTGGCGCGCAAGCCCTGGGGCGGTTCGTTGGTCATTTTCACGCCGTTCTGCAGCACGGACGGTGGAAAGACCGGTGACGGGTACGTCGTGCACCAGAGCCGAAAGTTGGGGTGCGTCGTCTCGAGCTTGACGCTTTCCGTGATGCGCTCGAGCGTCGGCATCCAGCTGGGCGCGAGGTGGCAGTTTTGCAAGACGACCCACGACCCGGTCTCCATCGCGAGTGCGATCATGCGCTCGGCAATGGGGCCTTGGCCCTGGCCGAGCGAGATCGTGTCGATGCGCTGCCTATTCGCGTCGGCAAATTTCAGCACCGAGCTAATCGGGTCCGAGCCCGGCGAGAGGATAAAGACGAGGGGCGAGCTCACGGACGAGTCGCTGTAGCACAGCCCAAGGTCGAACGGCGGCGGCTTGACGAACGCGTCGCCCATGGTCTCGACCACAAACTGCTGCGCGGCAAGCACGACAAGATCCGGTCGAATGCAGCGGATGCCGAGAAGCCGCCGGAACGGTGTCACCGTCGCAAAGGCGCCAGGGAATGGAATGAGATACCCGGTCGGCGAGTCGTAAATGGCTTTCCATGCGTCGACATGCGTCTTGAACTCGGTCGCGAGCCCCGGAAACGCCGGAAGATGCGAAAGGCGCACGAGCTCGTTCCACTGCTTGTCGGCAAACCAGTCGGGCGCTGGATTCGGCGGCGGCGTCTCCGCCACCGCCAGCCCGCCCGTGAGGAAGAAGTACCACTCGGACGCATCGATCTCGGCGCGGCCTTGCATGATCGAGATCGTCAAGAGAAACGAAAACATGAGCTTGTCCTTCTCGAGGAGCGACCGGCAAATGTTGCGGTACAGCGAAAAGGTAAAGTGGGCGTCGAGAAGCTTGAGCCGTTCATGTAAGTCGTTGCTCTTGTCGCTTTGGTTGATGCTGAGCACGAACAGCGCGATGAACCAAGAGAGCGAGTACTGGTACACGGGCTCGATGTTGGCGAGCTGGTCGATGCAGAAGAAGAGCACTTGCGACGAGTAGGCCACGGGGCGGTAGCCCTGCCGCACCGTATCGATCTCGAGCTCCGTGGCTTCGGCGATGACTTGCTCCGACTTGATTTGATCGGCGACCTGCTTGCCTTGGTTCATCGTGTTGATCGCGGTCTCATCTTCGAGAATGTTGCCTTCGGACGCCGACAGAATGTGCAGCGTCTTGTCTTCAATCTCCTTGAGAAGCGCCTTGTTCTTGGCGCTCTGGATGATGAGCTTGTTCTTTTGCTCTTCCAGATCCGGCCGTTCTTGCGCGACGACGATGCCCAAGAGCTGGTCTTCGAGCCCTTGTGGCGTGATCATAAAGTTGAGCAGCGTCACTTTGACCGACACTTCGGGCAAGTAATGCGGATTCCGGAGCTTGGTGGTGAGGTAGAATCGGAAGCTCTCGCTGTACTCAATGTTGGCGTCACCGAGACGAATGAAGAGCGTGCCGCCCTGCTTGAACGTCTGCTTGAGCAGAAGCGGCTCCAAGCTCGGGTCGAGCTCTTCGCCAATGTTTTCCAGCAGCACGGGGCGGCCGAACTGGACGGCATTCTCGAGTGTGCGCAAGTAGTCGCCGTCGGTGAGCTTGATGACGTTCAGTCCGTGCTCGGTCTCCATGTTGCGAATCCACTTGTTGGCTTGCCCCTGCGGGTCGATCATGAGTGGCCACCGACGCGCGTTGAAGACCACGATGCCATTGTCAATACTAAACATGTCGGTCGGAAGCCCATCAATGTTCCACTTGCGGATTTGAACCGGGTCGCCAAGCGTCCCCGAGAGCGACGGCAAGTCCGAGCACGGGATCGCGAGCTCCTTGCAGCGGGCAACCCACGCCGAGACCGCCTGCGCCCGGTACACGGATGTGAATGGTCCTATCTCGAAGGTAAGACAACTCCATAGAGGTATGCATCGTATGTAGTACCGAGGTAGGCGACGATGCCAGCGGAAATGAGCGCGTCGCCCGTGAGCTTGGTGTACTGCAGCGTGAGTTGAGCGCTGAACTCTTTCCAGCGAATCTTTTCGCCCCCAAGACTCTCAATCAGCGTTGCCGCGCGCACGAGCTTCTTCCCCGTGAGCTCAATCTGACTTTCCAAGCTTTGCTTGGAGGTTGTGGCGTCTTGGAACGACCGCTGGAGGCTCGCAAGCCCATCCTCGACCTCCTTCAAGCGTGCGAGCTTCTCGTTGAGACTCCCGAGCGTCTCTTGCAGCTGCTTCTCGGCCACCGCGAGGGCTTCACGCTTGGGTGCGACAATCTAAGCGCGATTTCGTTAAAACTCAAATACGAAATATGGCACAGTACCTTGCTCACGTTGTCGTAGAGTGCCATCGAGTGGACCCATTTGCAGAGACCGGCGGCAGCTTTGGACGCTTTCTCTGCTTTTTCGGGACTAAAGTTCTCGTCCGCAATGTACTTGGAGACGACCACCTACGACAAACCGTATTCGACCTCAGCGTTTTCGATGCTACACTATACCTTCATGATTTTCGGGTCGAGGTTGTCCTTGTCGAATTTCTTGAGCTGCTGGATGAACGTTGGGTCGCTAAGCATCTTTTGCGACGGTCCCCAAAAGTCCATGATGCGCTTGCTCGGGTCCGCGGGATCGGGAATACGCGCGGGCTTGATGCCGAGCATGACGCACACGCCTTCGCACACGAGCTTGACGCCGGCCGGCGGGTTGGCCATGGCTTTGACTTCGTTGATCTCGGACGCCTTGATCGTGTCCAGCGCCTTGAGTGCCTCTTCGAGCGCGGGAACAGCCTCGGCCAAGTCGGCCTCCACGCTCGCTTTCTGGATCTCGCACTGTGCTTTGGAGGCATCGGCGATTGCGACGTCGGCTTGGACCTCAGCGCGCGTCTTCTCGACGCCCGGCAACTTGGCTTGGATTTCCTCCATGAGCGCCTGCACACACATCAGTCACCCCTTGAACCAGACGATGCAATCATTGTCGTACCGCTGTCTCTTTGGTCGAGCGATCGAGGATCGGCTGCATATCAACGAGCTCCTTGCGCATGACGCTCACGTTGGCCTCGGCAAATTGGATCTTCTCCAAGCCGACCTCGTACCGGAGCTTGGCCTTCATGACGCTCTCGCGTCGTTGGCTGAGAAAGGTCTTGAAGGCCACGATGAGCTCGAGGTACGACGTGGGCGTCACGAGTTTTGCCGGCGGAGGCACTGCAGGTATGCGTCACTGAGGCTCTCGACTTGCACGTGAAAGTACTGGCACGTGTCGACAATGCCGCGGCGTGTCGCATCCGACTCCATTTGCACGTCGCGCAGGAATTTCTCGGCGACTGCGACGAGCGCGTCGGCAGGCCACGCCGTGAACCAATCGATCGTGCAGCAGTTGATCATGGAGGGAAATTTCCGGAGCCGGTCGCGGAACGCGTCCCCAATCGGCGAGCACGCAAGCACGATATGCAGCTGCTGGCGCACGCGCTGCACGAAGAACGCGTAGAGCTGGGCGGGCGTCATATCGCTCGCGACTTTGCCGAATTTCTCTTTGGCGTGGACGCGGACGCCTTCGCAGAGCCCGACACGCTCGTCGTACGGAAACAAATTTGGAATTTCGCCCGAGTTGAGCATGTTGTTGATGTCCTCGACGAACGCCTCGTACTTGATTTGCGTGTCGCTGAAGAGGAACACGAGCGGCCGCGCGCCAATACCCGCGGTCTTGAGTACATACTTCATGTCTTCGCGCCACTCGGTCATGGTGTAGTTTTTTGCAATCTCAATCTGCTTGACTTCATAGTCCATGATAAAGGCGGCGAGGCGGGTGAGACTTTGACGGCCGCTGCCCCCGACGCCCACGAGGAGAGCGTTGCCCCGGGGCATCTTGAGCACGCGTGCGATCCGCGAGAGGTGCTCGATCGCGAAGAGGAACATGACGAGGTTCATCGGCTTGCGCGAGACCGCGTTGAATTCGGCGAGATACGTGTCCAAGCACGCAATGAGCTGCGCGATGCCGTCCACGTCTCCACTCGAGTGCACGTCGATCTCCTTGTAGAGACGAGGCGATGCGTCCGGATCGCGGTAGTCGCCAAAAAAGAGGTTGCGCATGTCTTGGGGCATCACGATCCCATCGCGACCGCGCTTGAGCGGTGCAAACACCTTCATACATATAACCAAATCGCATTTTGGCAATTTTCTGTGCTTTTGTACCTTGTCAAAGTTGGTGTTGAAGTGTTTCGCGACCATTTTGCGCTGAAAGTCACAAAACCACGTTCGGCCTTCGTCGTCAATGAGCCGATCGCCAATCACGCGCAGCGACTCGTGAACCCAGAGCTTGACGAGGCTGGTCGTGTTGAAGTCGTCGGCCGCCGTCACGAGCATGATGCCTTGGATGATACGCGAAAAATCCCGTAAATTGAACGTATAATGGGACTTTTTCGGTGTCGGAAGGAGCACCTAATGTCATCGAATCAGCGATCATATAGGAAGAGGACGCGATGCGTACCTTCATGGCGTTCTGGTACGTCTCCAAGGTCGCATTCACCACGGCGTCGGCGAGCTTGCGGATCTCGGAAACGAACGGGTTGCTCGTAAAGTACCAGTTGACAATGGTCGAGAAAATGCGTGCGAGCGTCGCGTCGTCGAATTCCGAGAAGCAGAGCACGTTAAAGTGCCGCTGGAAGCGCGGACTGATCGTGTTGCGGCCACCGCCCGGCGGTCCCATGGCCGTGACGACGATCGTGTCGATGATCTTTTGCCACGCCATCTCCTTGAGGTCGTACCACCCGCCCGAGTCGACGAGCTGCCGCATGAGCTCGATCGGCGGCTGCGCGCCGTACGTTTCAATCATGGGCATGTTGAGATCATCGACAAACACGATGCCGTCCTTCCCGACCGGTGGCCCGTACACGCCTTTTCGCCGCTTGTCGAGCTTGCCGTCAATGATGTTTTGGGTCATATTGGCCGACGTCTTTGCCGAAAACGAGAGCATAATGACGGAAAAGTGGTCGGGACTGAGGCGCTCGTTCAGAATCGCGTTGAGGTACGAGCTTTTGCCGGTACCCGTGGGCCCACACACGAGCACCTTGCGCTTGGACGAGACGAGGAGCTTGACGAGATTTTCGAGCTGCGCCGTGTAAATCGTGGGCACGACGATGGTGCTAAACGGTGAGTTGGGCGGAATGATGTACTCTTTGAGCGTGTCTTCCCAGCGCACCCACTTGCCCTCGTCGAGATTATAGAGGTAGTCGTGCAGGTTGCCCTTCGTCGGCAGTGCCAGTGTGAGCGCATACGTGTCGAACGCAGGCTTGACCCACTTGCGCACTTGGAGGGCGCGGCCAACGACAATGTACTTGGCGTTGAGCGCGCCCATCGACTCCATGTAGCTCCGTAAGAAGTCGCAGAACCGGACGCGACCCTCCGAATTGGATGTGCACCCGACTGACCAGAGTAGGCCAAAGAGGAAGAGGCTTTCGAGGTGCTGCAGGCCTTTCTTGGTGCCAATATCGCCCGGCTTGACCTGGAGCAGCTCCGCCTCCAAGATGTGCAGTAAGCTCTGTACGAGGTTGGCGTCGACCGTTGGCGTGAGCTCGATGAGCTCCTTGCGCACAAACGCAATGCAAGGATCGACGAGCCACGCGCAGAGCGTCCGGATCGTGCTGCGCTGGTCGTCGTTCAAGATCAGGTGGAGCTTCGGGTCGGCGTCTAATGGCAGCACCATCGTGCGGTCCAGCCACGAGTCGACGAGCGGCTGCCACCCAAGCTGCTCGGGCTCCATGTAGATCATACCGCAACGAGAGACGGTGGCGGGCGACGCGACAAGAAGATCCATGGGCTCGAACATCATACTCATGACGGGGCTCATCGCAATGATCTCGCCGCTCATCAAACACAGTTTCCGGTTGTCGTCCAGAACCGTATTCATGTTTTCAATCCAGACCGCGTCGACGGGGCCATCAAAGAGAAGCCATTTGCGATCCGGCGTCGGGCTCGTTGCGAGGTTGCGATAGTTGATGGCGAGGACGCCGTCGGTCCACTCGTGCGAGACGTCGTCAAACTGGCCGTAGAGCTGCCCCATCGTGATCGACTTGGGGTTGATGACGGCCACGACGACCGGCGTATACCTACATGGCAGGAATGAGGTTACAGGGGATTGCATACGAACAACACGTCGCTGGCATACCGCGTATCCTCAGGAAACTGGTTGTGGAGGCGCTCGAGGACGTCAGCAAGCACCTTCCACGAGCTCGACTTGCCCGAGAAAGGCATGCCCACGACCATGAAACCGTGCCGGACAATCATCATTTCGTAAATCTGAATGACCTTTTCGATAAAGTTGGGCACGGGCTGGAGCTCCATGGCCTTGCACGCGTCGTTGACTGCACGTAGCATATCCGTGCGGTCGGGTGGGTCCACCACGACGCCCGGGAAGAGGTCCGAGACAATGCCGTTGAAGAGCGGGACGTCCGGACTCAGGAATTTCGGCAAGTTGACGTCAATGATGGAGCGCAAGACGAGCGTGTCCTCCTGGAGGTGGCCCTCGCTGCGCTTGAGGTTGCCTGCGGCGCGCAGCACGGCCATGACGGCCCGCATGCCATAGTCGTAGTGCGACTGCGACGAGAGCTGCTCCGAGCACAGCGTGTACGTGGTTGTAATCTTCTTGGAGAGTGCATTCGCCTCCATGTAGCCGTACGAGTAGAGCATGATCTCGGCAATCATCGCGTAGTCGGGCACCATCATGGCCACGGTGCGGAAGAGGACCTTGAGGTTGTCGGGCAGCTCGGCGCGCCCCGCATACCCTACCACGCGACGTCGATATTGTTTTAAAACGCAATGTACGTACCGGGGTTCATCGTAATGAACGGACAGCACGTTGGGTTGAGCGAGAGGAGCGTGCCCTCAAACATAAAGGTCGCGGCGTTCTGCGCCTTGGCGATCTGGATGCACAGAATTTGCTGGGCAATCACACTCAGCACTTCGAGCTGGATGCGGTTAAACTCGTCGAAACACGCCCACGCACCGCTGGACGCGAGGCCTTTGAAGAACTTGCCCATCGCAAGGTAGTCGAGACCGTCCGAACAGTTGGTCACAACGCACTGGATCGCAATGGCTTTGCCGAGATCCTTGGTTGTCTCGGTCTTGCCCGTACCGGCCGGTCCTTCTGGCGCGCCCCCGAGGTTCAAATGAATCGCCCCCATGAGCGTGCGGTAGCAACGGTCCGTGAGCGGCGTAATGACGAGCCGCATCGAGTTGCCGAGGTACTCGAATGCGTACAGGGCCAGAGTATTGATCATGCGGCACTGCAGTGTACCCGGCTTCCCCGTCGCGGCCGACATTCCGCCCGCGACCCAGTAGTAGCGCAGCTGTGCGAGCCAGTCAAAGTCGAGCTTGTCCGATGTCTTGAGGGTCACAAGCTCGGCGATCGTGTCGCGATTGTGCACGTCCATCACGACAAGCGCGCCGAGGGTGATGCGTGTGAGCTTGGGCAGCTGGCCACGCACGAGCTCGACCGTCCGGAGCAGCTCGTCCTTGAGCATCTACGAGCCAACACTATTACATTTGTGGTCCATCACGCATTTCAGCGGACCTGGGAGTGCTGCACAAGGGCATCTTTCGGTCCATCGAGCGCGGCCTCGGTTTGCTGCGTCCACACTGTCTGGTTGATGGCAAGAACGACTTGGCCAGGCCATTCTTGCACCCACGTAAGGCGATCTTTGGTGGCATAGTCGGCCATGCTCAGGTCAACGTGGTACGCGACGCTCTTGCGCATCGTGATCTCGACCTCTTGGAGCCAAATCTCAACATTGCCGCCCGTTTTGTTGGGGTTGATGGGCGATTGCGAGATCTTGTCGAAGAGGAACGGGACCTTTTCATTCTCGGGGCTCAGCATCGCCGTAATGTCGAGGTTGGGCTGGAACTCGAGGAGGTTGATGCCGTCAAACGCCTTCTTGAGATGTGGCTGGACGCGGAGGGGGTCCTTGGTTTCGGCGAGAATTTCGAGCAGCTCGTCGTTGGAGAGGAAAAAGAAGCGCGGAAAGTACAGCCGCTTCGTCTCGAGGTACTCGTTCAAGCCTTTCTGGATCGTCTCGAGGTCGGCGTTGGACTCTTGGAGCGTCTCGAGCAAGCCTTGGCGCATCGCAACGACCGTGGCTTCTGGCTCGAGGATCGTCTCTTCCATGTTGTGACGCCACGTCGCATCCACGCGCTTGAAGAGCATGCCCTCGGTCGGCATTTGCCGCATGATGTCGTCGCTGCTGAAAATCGGCTCAAGGTACAGCCACGTCGCTTGGACCTTGAGCCACTGGTCGGTAATGTCTTGAATCGCAACCAGCGTTTTCTCCCATCGCGCAATGCGCTCCAAATACGGCTTGTTGTAGCGCGACCCGCGAATGGATTGAATCTTGACCATGTGGTCGTCCAAGAGCTGCTGCATCTCGTCGGTGCCAAAGAGGATCGACGTGCCGGTCGTGCGGTACGGCTTGGTGTGGAACTCAACGCCTTCCCACTCGTGCTCCATCTTGTCGAGGGCTTGCTCGAGCGAGTACTCTTTCGCGGCGCCCACACAAATGTCTTCGATTTGCGCCGTGAACTTGTGCAAGCCCGCGTCCAGCATGTGACTTAGCGTCATGTCCCCGCCCGGCGTCTGCAAGTCGAGCTTTGTAATGCCCTCGATTTCGGTCCAATGCCGCGCGCAGAGTGCCGGCGTACAAATCAGGTGCATGAGCGGCACGTGTGCATCGAGCATTTCATCGAGCATCTTCTTGGCCGCGCGCGCGACCTCGGTCGGCGCTTCCAAGCTCTCGCCAATCTAGCAGTCACGCGCATGATGGCTACCTCTCTATCTATATCGATGGACGCACCTTTTCGCAGTCACGGATGACCTTGACGACGTTGCGCCGAAACCCGTCGGCTTCGCGCTCGGCGTCTTCGGCGTTGACCATGTACAGCGGTAGCCCGCGCCACTGGTTGAGCTGCTCGCTGAATTGAGACACTAGACACATATCAAGAGACGTTCGCATCGTGTCTCTGCATCCGTACCGGTCGACCAGAGCTTGTCCATGGGTGCGAGCATTTCTTGGAGCTCCTTGATGCTCGTCTCGTTGTCCGTGAGCTCCATCCCGAGCAGCGTCTCTTGGTCGCGGATCTTGCTCGCTTCGTCGTCGATCTCAGTGATGAGCTTATTGATGCCTTCGATGCGCTTGGTGACGTTCATCGCGTCACCCATGTTGCCGGCCTCCCGCATCTTTTCAATCTTACGCTGACAGGTGGCAAACGTGCCAAGGAGGTGTTCTTGGCGGGCTGTCACCACGAGCTCGAGCTCCCGCTTGCGCTCACGCTGCCGCTCGAGCGACTTGCGCTGAAAGTTGGCGACCGTATCGGGCCAGCGGTACGTGACATAAAAGAGCTGAATGTCGTCGCGGTCCATGGCAAAGTGGTGCTCGGTCAAGAACCGAATCGCGGTGTGCACGTCGTTGACCAGCTCGTCCTGGAGCGCATTGAGCGCCGCCATGCTCGACTCGTAAAACGCTTGGAGGCTCTTGAGCTCGACCGAGTCGAGCGGGTCGGCCATGAGCGTCTGCACAATGGCTTCGTACTGCGCACCCATGGCGTGCATGCGCTTGACGTTCTCGGCCGAGACGCGCGCCAATAAGATCGATGCAAACTCTTTGGCCTTGGCGCGAAGGCTGTCTTTGGCTGCGACGCACGAGACGGCAAAGAGCGAGAACGTATACTGGTCGGCGATCTCGGCCAAAATCGTGTCGTCGATCGATTGGAGCGCTGCGAGCTCGGCGCGGAGCGCGTGCAAGTCGAGCGGCTGCTCCAAGAGGGAAGCGATATGCCGCGCCATGGAGCCATCGAGCAGCGTCAGAAAGGGTGAAAACCGAGCGAGGACATCTTCGGGGTCGCGCAAGTGCCGCTGCAGCGCATGGCGCACGGCGTGTTTGGCCGAGAGCACAAACGGATCGCCTGTCCCAAGCGTGCACGGCCCGAGCGACGCCTTGTTGCGAATACGAACCGGCACGCTTGTGTGCGAGTCAATGCGTGGAAAGATCGCGACCGCGTCTACGAGCATGCCGACGCAGTGCAAGAGCGTTGTCTCCATCGCGTCGGCCGGCGGGTCGAGTGCAAACCCGGCGCCCGGGGATTCAAAGCACTGCACGGAGAGGATCAGTGCCGGCTCGCCGTCGAGCGCTGGCGTCGAAAACTGCTCAAAGAATGCTTGGAAGGCGAGGACCGAGGCATCGACGGTCTCGCGTAGCTGCCGCGACATGAGCACGGACGCTGCGTTCAAGACGCCAATGTGATGGTTGAAGCGGAAGAGGTCGTCTTCGACGAGCGTGTCGGCCGAGGCCTTTAGCACGGAGCGACCGTCCAAGCCTTCGAGCGCGACGCGGTTCGCGAAGAGCTTGGCGGCGCCTGGGCTGCCATTGGCACTGGCGTGCTACGCGCAATGTGAAGAGACATCCAATTGATGCAATTAAGAGACGTACGAGTGGTTCGGGCAGCGGAAGATCGCCGCGAGGGTCGCGCACCGGCGCATCCGGCGAGAGCGGCAAGAACGCATCGACCTTCATGGCGCTGGCGGGAATCCAGTACGTCCGAAGACACTCTTTGACCGCGTCGACGCGGCGGCTAATGTGATCGACAAAGTTGGGCACCGTGCGCGGCAACGACGACCGAAACGCGGGTGTCAAGACGTCCGTAAAGAGCAGCTCGTGGTACGGCACGAACGGATTGTCCCGAATCTAAGTCCCTTTTGATTATCAAAGATGAGATGGAAATGCCAAACCTCCCAGTCGGGGGGCGGGCCTTCGTGCAGCCATTGCGTTTGCAGCGCGAGCATGGCCGGGTCAGCCGTGTGCAGAAACACCTCAATGTACTCGGCACTGTCGCGAATCACCGTCGCGTCCACGCCCGTCTCCCGAAGGACACGCCATTGGAACGACTGGTACGTCTCGTCGCTCCACCACTTGGGCGTTGCGTGGAGGTACGCTGGAAGAATGCCGAGCCGCGCCGCGTGGCTCTCTTCCAAAAGGTCGTACTGCAGCATCGCACGCGCGATCGCCGTGTTGTACGTCGCATACACGGCGTCGAACATTTCCGTGAGGAGGTGTTCGCACGTGGCCGTGTTTTGCGCTAACAGCGCCTTGTCATGCCGGAAAGGCGGTGCCGGGAGCTGCAGTCGCTGCAAGATTTCGACCGGGATGGCCTCCGACATGGGCGGACACCCGCGGGCCACGTACATCTCGACCGCGCGCCAGTAATTGTTGGCCGAGGTTTCGTACGCGGCCGAGTCGAGCTCCAGCGTCCGGGGCGTCAGCGGTTTGAGTACCACGGGCGCCAAGCGCCGGGCAGCCGGCGTCACGGGGCTGCCAACGTTGAGTACGATTTTGTGCTTCTTTGGCGAGCTCTTGGTCGGCGACGGCTTTTTAAAGACGTGTGTTGGATTTTCTGCCACGTGCCGCTGGAAGGCGCGGGAGCCAGAGGGATAGAGAGACACGCTGGTCTTGATATCGGCCGGAGGAAGCTGCGTAAAGGGCGACTTGGGCGGCGGCGACGGCGATAGCTCGCTGCTTTCCGACTTGCCCAATTGCGCCAACGACCGCTCGAGCGCTGGCGCCACGGCGACGTACTCGATGGCCTTCTTCTTGGGGCTAAAGCCAGGTCGCAAGTCCTTCGGCTTTTCACGGACCATGACGGGCATGCTGAGCGCGATGCGGGCGACGTCGTCCTTGGTAAGCTTCCGCGTCGTAATGGTGTAGTTGGAGCCGATCCGATCGCTGAGCGTCGAGTATATACGCTCCTCGGGCGACTCGATCGTCTCGGCCGACGTTGGAGGCGTCACGGCAGGTAGCATGAGGCGGCCGTTCGACGAGTCGGGGCGGCGCGGGCCTTGCAGCGAGCCCAGCGGCCCCAGCGACGCCTTGAGGTCGGCGATTTGGGCGTCTGTGTTCTTCTTGTGCTTCTTCGTACCGCCCTCAAGCGTGCCGAGCTGGCTTTGTCGCGCCAAGATCGAGCTCTGGAGGATGTCGAGTCGTGCTTTCCGGATCGGGCTGCGCCGGGGGTCGCCCGACACCGCCATCGACGCGTTCCCGGAGCCGCGGGAGAGCGCTTGGAAGCGGTCGAGGTCGCTCCACGGCTCGGAGGCCGGCGCGCCATCGGCGCTTTCGGGCGTCTTGCTCATGCGATTCCCCGCGAAGTCGGAAGAGGCGCAAGTAGAAAGGTCGCACTGGTCGTTTCGACCGACGCATGGATCGTGCAAACCTTGTTGTGATTGGTGAAAAGGGTCTTTTTTTAGCCAATCCAAGCAACGGATCCCAAGATCGCGTCCAAACGACCCGACAGGATTTGCACCAATCACACGGCTGCACGCGCCGACTTGTTTTTTCACGTACAAAGTGTCCAACGAATATTAACTCATTTCAACATCAAACGACTTGCTCGTGGCCCAGTTCCATCCTCTTTGTACTCAAAAATACTTGATCTAGTTGGACCTTCGACAATCAAATGCGTCGACTGCAGCCTTCGGTATGACTCGAGCGCGTTGAATACTAATACACTGACTGCCCTGATTTCCTTTTCTATATCGGTGTTTCAAGACATGATCCCCAGCCCCCTGCTCGCTACGTCAGGCGTGAGGTACACTAAAGCTTGGACAGATCGATCCTCTCTCGTCGAGCAGATGCAAAGGGTCAGGCGAGCTTCCTTATATTCAGGGGTGTGTTGCTAAAAAGCGGTTGTCACATACATGTACTCTTCAAGGGTAGGGGATATCCCTTGTGGAGGGTCGATGCCGTGCCTTGGATAGGACATTATTGCATGACCAAGAACCCGGACATGCGGCACATGGCCATAGGTACATCATGTTGATAGATAATCGTGTACGAGAGGATGTTGGCATGCGACTCTGTACGTACATCATGTGACGTCGTTCAAGCACTCATCTCGCTACGTACAACCGACGACTCGACATGTCCTCGTCCTTCCAGGAAGCACACGCTACATGACACGCTGGATCACTCCATGGGTTTTAGAATACCAAGCGATCGCAACAAGCGTCGACCATGTCCAAAATTAAGCGTGCGTTCGACCAAAGTCGTGTCAAAACTCGCCTCGGTTACATCTCAAGTTATATTAAGCGGCGTCGGGCCAAGACGTCGATGGCGCCGGACCGCCCCGTAACACCCCAGTTACCGCGCGCGATGCGCAAGCTCCGAGAGCCGCGCACGGTACACTATTGATAGCGTGTCGCCGCCTTACTAATGCGTGCGCAGGTGCAGCGCATCTCCCTCGGGTGCCTCAATACAAAGCACCCACTGCGAAGAGTTTGCATCAAGATCCTCCAATCGCCGTGGTTTGACCGGGTCATTATCCTCGCCGTGTGCTGCAATACGGTGATTCTCGGTCTCGTCGACTATGAGAACGCGTGGGTCGAAGGCCCCAACCCCAACATGGGTGTCAACAAGCTCATCGAGCAGTGGAATGGCGTGAGCCTCTACATTTTTGTGGCCGAAATGGTCGTCAAGATCATCGCCATGGGCTTCTTCGTTGGCGAAGGCGCGTACTTGCTCGACAGCTGGAACCGCCTTGACTTTGTCATTGTCCTCTCCGGGTACGTGCCCTTCGTCTCCCATCCTGGTTGCCTAAAGTGGATCTAGCATGCTCTCGGTGCTCAACATCAAAGTCGGGTTCGTCCGCGTCCTGCGCGTCCTCCGACCGCTCCGAACGCTCCACACGTTTCCAGGTAGACTACACAACGGCGCGAAAGCGCCCGACTAACGATGGCATGATGCAGGCCTCAAGGTGCTCACCAACTCGCTCCTCTCCAGTCTGCCGGCGCTCGGAAACGTGGCCATTTTGCTCGCCTTCATATATATCGTGTTTGCGATCCTCGGCATGGAGATCTGGCGCGGCGCGTTCCACTCGCGCTGCCGCCTCACGCCCTTTCCGATTGCGCTGCCGTTTGACGCGCTGAATCCGCCGGGCGCCAATGCCTACCCCGTAAGCGCCGCGTACTTGGCCAAAGTGCTGGCCAACCCAGCGTGGTACCGCTGCAACAAGAGCGACGGGTCTGCGTACCTTGTGGACGATACATGGGATATACGCGCCAACTGCTTTTGGCCGCTGGACAGCGGCCTTCCGATGCCACGGCTATGCTCCTCGTCGGGTCGTACGTGCAACGTGAATCAAACGTGCGGCTCCAACTATGACCCAAACGGGAACCCTCGCTTTCTCGATATCGCGGGACCGCTGCTCAATCTCTCCATCATGGGCGAGCCGACGTTCAATGCGAATCTGAACTTCGGGCTCACCAACTTTGACAACCTCGGCAACACGCTCATGGTCATCCTCCAAGTCGTGACAGCGTCCGGCTGGATGGCGCTGACCGAGACGGTACGTCTCTATCGATGGAATAGCTCTCCATATATGGTGTCTTGTTTGTATAGGCGCAATGGGTCGGCAACCCCGCGCTAGCGGCCATCTACTTCAACTTGCTCCTCATCATTGGCATGTGCTTCTTGCTCCAGCTCAATATGGCCGTCCTCTTTACCGAGTTTGAGAAAGCCAAGGACCAGCAAGCCAAGGCGGCCCACGCCAGAGCGTACGATCTATCAAATGGAAGTAGCGTTCCCTCAGCCTTATGTAGTGTCGACGTCATCAAACGCCTCTCCATGGTGCCACCCCCGCCCGTGTCGACATCGCAGACCAAGCGCATAGACACGGCCGATGTTGTCGTCGCGCCGGCATGGCGCCGGTGCGTCGTTGAGTGGCGACTCTGCATTCGGCAAGTCGTGCTCACGACGGCGTTTCGACGGCTCGGCATTTTTATCACGCTCAGCAACGTCTTTGTCATGTCGCTCAACCACACCGAGATGAGCTACACGTTCGCGTACAACTGCGAAGTGCTCAACTTTACGTTTATGATCTACTTTGGCATCGAGTCGCTTCTGAAAATGATCGCGCTCGACCTGCGACCGTTCTGGGCGTACGTTCATCTGTCTATGGGATGTGCTCACCGGTCCTGCCTAGCGACAAGTTTAACCGGTTCGACCTCTTCACCTTTCTCATCGGTATTGTGGAAGCGATGCTCAACCCGCCAACCTTTATCGACGGCACGTCGGGCGGGTCCGGTCTCTTTACAGCCTTCCGCGTCGCGCGCGCGTTCAAATTGGCCCGGTCCTGGAAGTCGCTCAACAAACTCCTCATGGCGATTCTCAATTCGTTTGGGGAGATTCTCAACTTTCTCTTCTTCCTTGTGCTGTTTTGCTACATTTATGCGCTCTTGGGGATTGAGGTATTCATTGATCGCTCTTCGTTGGATTCTTATTCTTCTCTAGCTCTTTGCGACCAAGTTTCAATTTGACGTCAACAACCACGCGCTGCCGTACAACAATACGAACCCGACGTCGCTGCGCCACCGCAACAACTTTGACAGCATCACGTGGGCGTTCTTTACCGTCTTCCAAGTCATCACATACGACAACTTTCCCAACGTGACGTACGACGGCTGGATCAGCGTCGGGTGGATCTCGCCCGTCTACTTTGCGTCCATTATCGTCTTTGGCGTCTGGATCGTCATGAACATGTTCTCCGCCATCCTCGTCCAGAGCTGCATGGTCGACGACGAAGACGACGACGACGACAAGGGCGACGATGGAAACAACGGCAAACGAAGGACTCGGCGACCGTCGACGGCTTGCTCTACGACGACAACCGCAGTGCCAACCGGCGGGTCCGGCGCGCCAAACGCGCCATGTTCCAGCTGATTCGCTTCTTCGACGCCAACGTTCATGATCCGAACGAAGCGCGACAGCGCGAGGCCGCGTCCTATTTGCTCAACAAGGGCAACGCGCTGCTCCTCTTTTCACCGCGGAATCCGATCCGGCGCTTTTGCGTCGTTCTCCTCCAGCGGCGCGAGTGGACGTGGTTCATTTCCATCTCGATTGCGGTCTCGTGCATCTTTACGGCCATTGACACGCCGCTTTTGGACCCGAATTCGTCGCTTGGGCAGTCGATTGCGACCTCCAACGCGGTCTTTGCGATGCTCTTTACATGCGAACTCGTCATTGCTGTCATTGCAAAAGGCCTCTTCTTTGGCCGCGGTGCGTACCTCAAGGACCCGTGGCGCATCCTCGACGGCTTCATCGTCTCCGTCTCCGTACTGCCGTACTTGATCGGCAACGCCAAAGGCACGCTCTCGGGGCTCCGCGCACTTCGGGCGTTCCGCGCGTTCCGGCCACTCCGCGTCATCAACAAGCTGCCGCAGCTCAAGATCGTCGTCAACACGCTCTTCCGGTGCATCCCGGACATTCTGAACGCGCTCGTCTTCTTCTTCTTCATGCTCTTCATCTTTGGCTTGATGGGCATCTCGCTCTTCAAGGGCGCGCTCAGCACGTGCTCGATCAGCCCGTATACGTACACCCAAGGCACGGGCACGCCAGCGTTCCCACCGTGGTTCCCGTCCGGCTACGCAGGTGACTTTGTGACCAACATGACGAGCATCGACACCATGACGTACCCGATTGCATGGAGCAATATGACGGCGAGTCAAAAGGCGCCGTATGCAGCCGTATGGAACACGACGGGGTGCGGGCCGTTCGCAGACGACTACCTGCCGACGTCCAAGCAAATGTGTCTCTGCTTTGCGGCGACCCACAAAACCACGTGGAATTCGCTCGTGCCCCAAAAGTTTGACAACATTTTTTGGGCTGTCGCTGGTTTGTATGAGCTCACGACAATGGAGGCGTGGTCGCTCACAGCCTTGGCGGCTGTCGACTCAGTCGGCGAAGACATGCAGCCGATCCTAAACAACCAGCCGCTCGTCATGATTTGGTGGTGGCTCTACATGATTGTGTGCGCGTTCTTCATCACGAACCTCTTTATCGGTGTCTTGTGCGACAGCTTCTGCCGCGAGTCGTACGGTGCCGTCGTCACGGAAGAGCAAATCAAGTGGATCAAACTCCAAAAGAAAGTGCTCGCGCTCTCGCCGCAAGTGACGCACCCGGTACCACACGGGCGCTTCCGCGAGCTCAGCTTTCACATTGTGCACTGGCCGTGGTTTGAGTACATCATCACGGCGTGCATTCTTGTCAATATGATCTGCATGGCGATCCAAGCGTACGGCCAGAGCGCGTCCTTCTTGCTTGCACTCTCGGTCCTCAACAGCATCTTTACCGGCATCTTTACGTGCGAAGCGATCCTGAAACTCAACGCGTTCGGCTACGCCTACTTTGACGAAGCATGGAACCGGTTCGACTTTACCATCGTTGTCTTTGCCATGGCGAGCATTATTTTGCCGCTCGTGACAACGTCGTTGAGTCTCGGCACGGTGCTAACGGTCGTCCGCGTCTTCCGCGTCGGGCGCGCGCTCCGGCTCATCAAGAAGGCCAAGCTCATGAAGAACTTGTTTGATACGCTCACCGTGTCGCTGCCCGCAGTGGGGAATGTCACGAGCTTGCTCATGCTCCTCTTTTACATTTACTCGGCCGTCGGCGTCCAGCTCTTTGCCAAGGTCGCGTACAACAACCAGGGCATCCACCAGTACCAGAACTTTCAGAACTTTTTCCGCGCGCTCCAAGCGCTCATTGGCTTTAGCACGGGCGAGAACTGGGACAACTTTACGTGGGAAATCTACTACACGTCGCCCGCAACGAACCCAAGCTGCGACGACCGCACCTTCAACGGCAACATGTGCGGCTTCAACGACACGGACCCGTACAACTGCATTCCCCTCGACGGCTGCGGCTCGTGGTTCATCGTGCCATTCATGTACTCGATGTACCTCATCATCGGGTATCTTGGCATGAACCTCTTCTCGGGTATCGTGATTGATGCGATTGGCGACTCGTCCGCGGCGTCGCCTGTGAACCCCGCGACGCTGGCCGAGTTTGCTGACCGGTGGGCCGAGTTTGACCCGCAAGGCGGTGGCTTGATCACGGCTGAGGAGCTCGCGGACTTTCTCTACACGGTGTACCCGCCGTTTGGCTTCAAGTCCGTGCCTGGCTTCACACGGCGCCGCGTCGTCATTGCAATTGGTATGTCATCGTTCGTGTCTTGCGACGTGCTCATGTCACATGGACCGCAGGTGAGCTCGACATTCCGGTCTACGACAAGATCTACGTGCACTTCAAGGACGTCCCGCGGGCGCTCGTCATGCGGGTATTGGCCGAGGTATGTTTGAATCCTTCGATGCGGTCGGACAAAAGGCGCGGCGGTGTAGGGCAGCGTCACCAAGTACAACGAGATCAACAAACTCATGGACCAGCTCGGCATCAACAAGCAGTTTGACGAGCTCTGGCACCGCCGGCGCGGCAAGAAGCAAAAGGATCGGCTCTCGATGCGAGAGGTCGGCCGCGTCAAGGAGTACTCGGCCACCATCATGATCCAGCGCTTCGTCCAGCGCGCGCGCGCCAAGCGACTGCGCGCCAAACTCGCCGCCACGGATTTGTCGACGAGCGACCCCGACCTAGCGCACGAGTCGGCGACGGTGCACGGCGAGCCGCTCATGTCTGTGGACGCCCCCGAGACGACCGAAGCGTCGACGGCCATCGCGTGAAAATGACAATTGGCGAGTGTGTGCTGGCTGCATGAAGGAGTCGGCGATGCTGTCCATAATCTGTACTACGCGTATCATGCGTTCTAGCTAGTAATAGCATTACAAGTGAGCTATGGTAATAGTAGTTTACATTGTTCTGTTATCAAAAGGCTTGTCGGGCGGCCCCCACAGCCCCGGCGGTAGCGCCACGTCGTCGTCGTCGGCTGCCAGAGTGTCACTAGGCTTTTCGCCCATAACATTGTCGTGGTCGAGCACGATGTTGTCTGCGTCCATGCATGATGCGCTCCGTGCGTCGGCCATGTACATGGAGAAGGACACCTTGAACTCGTCGGTTTGAGCCCGCTTTTGCTGCATGCGCAGTCGGTCGTGCTCGCGCCGAAGATTGCGCTGCTCCGGCGTCTCACTCTCTCGTCGCACGCGCGCTCGTTCGCGGGCCTGCTGCTTCCACTTTTCCTTTTCGTCGTCCGAGGCGAGCTGCCGGCGCGCGGCCACGCGGGCGCGGTTCTTCTCGCGGCGCCGCGCCGCCTCGTCGGCGCCTTCGCTCCTGCGCAGCTTGGCCATGCGCAGACGCCCTTTCGCCAAGCGCTCCTCCTTCTCGTCCGTCGTCTCGCGGTAGCGTTTCCGGGCGGCGCGGGCGCGCGCAAGCTCCTTGGCGCGATGGGCCGCGTCCTCCATTCTCGTCGCACCACAATGTATTTTATTTTTATTGCATGGCCTTTGAAATTCGGACTCTGCCTCAAATAAGGCGTGTCTAAAGTTAGATCCTAAAAAACGAAAAACAACCTTTGGGCCAAGTCGTGAAACAGCCAACAGAGGCAGCAGCAGCAGCAGCAGCATGGGCATTGGCGCGCCTGCGCAGATGGCCACCTTGATGCAAAGGACGAGCTTGGGCCGAACATACCGCGAGGTCAAGAAGGTAGGCCGTTGCCATCGCGGGACGTCGCTCATGTGCTGCATGATGATGGGCGCAGGTGCAGCGTATCGCGCTCGGGTGCCTCACGATAAAGCACCCACTGCGAAGAGTTTGCATCAAGATCTTCCAGTCGCCATGGTTTGACCGGATTGTGATCTTGGTCGTGTGCTTCAACACGGTGATTCTGGGCCTCGTCGACTACTCGCAAGCGTGGGCCGAAGGCCCCAATCCGAACGTCGGCTACAACCACTTTATCGAGCTCTTCAACTCGATTAGCCTCTACTTCTTCGCAGCCGAAATGGCCGTCAAGATCGTGGCCATGGGCTTGATCTTCGGCGAAGGTGCGTACCTGAGCAACAACTGGAACCGCCTCGACTTCGTCATTGTCATCTCCGGGTACTTGAACGATGATGGGTGACAACTCATTTCTTATGGTCATGGCACGACTAGCATGCTCAATTGGCTCAACATCCGTGTCGGGTTCATTCGCGTCCTGCGCGTCCTTCGGCCACTTCGGACGCTGCACTCGTTTCCGGGCCTCAAGATCCTCACCAATTCGCTCCTTGCGAGTCTGCCAGCGCTCGGAAACGTGGCCATCTTGCTCTCGTTCAGCTACATTGTGTTTGCGATCCTGGGCATGGAGATCTGGCGCGGCGGGTTCCATCCGCGCTGTCGGGTGACGCCGTTCCCGATTGCGCTGCCGTTTGACTTGGCGACTGCCCCCGTCGGTGCGTACCCCGTGAGCCAGGCGTATTTAAACCAAGTGCTTGCCAACCCTTCGTGGTACCGCTGCAACAAGACGGCGGGCGTCCCGTACGAGGTCAACGACTCGTGGGCTCAGCCTGTCGGGTGCTTTTGGCCGCTCGATACCGACGTCGACCCGACGCTCTACACTCGGTACTGCGTCGCGGCCGGTGAAGTCGGTCGGCAGTGCGGCCCCGGGACGTGGTGCGGGTCCAACTACGACAATGACGGCCAACCACGATTTCTGGATATTGCAACCCACGAGTGGTCTTACTCGATCATGGCCCAGCCCTCGTTCACGCCCAATCTCAACTTTGGATTTACCAACTTTGACAATCTCGGCAACACGTTCATGATCATTCTCCAAGTGGTCACTGCGTCCGGGTGGATGGCGCTCACGGAAATGGTACGCCACGACATACTTCAAAACCCACTGCATCTTCATTGGATAGACGCAATGCGCGGGCAACCCTGCGGTTGCGGCGATTTACTTTAACGCACTCCTCTTCTTTGGCATGTGCTTTCTCTTGCAGCTCAACATGGCTGTGCTCTGCACCGAGTTTGACAAGGCCAAGGAAAACCAGGAAAAAATGGCCCGACAAAAAGAGTTCGCAGAGCTTTCGACATTACATGGAAACTCATGCGTCGCTGTAGGGCTGCGCTCATGGCCGAGCTGCATGCGACCATCAAGTCGCGTCTCTCGACCGTGCAGTCGCAAGCGATTGCCACCAACAAAACGGGGGAGCCCAACGTCGTCGTTGCTGCCCATCCGGACCACCAGCACCTTGGCGACATCGTCGTCGGCTCAGCAGCGTCGCGGCACATAACGATGCTACGTGCAGCAGCAAAAAAGCTCGTCCTGAACGATAACTTTCGGCAGTTTGGGCTTGCCGTGACGGTCGGCAACATTTTTGTCATGTCGCTCAACCACGCGAACCAGACCGAAGCCTTCGTGTACAACAGTGAAATCGTCAACTTTGCGTTCCTCCTCTACTTTGTGTGGGAGTCGAGCGTCAAGATGCTCGGAATCGGTCTCGGTCCGTTCTGGCGGTACGCTCCTTCTGCGTTTGTGAGAGGCTCATGGACGTGCCTCGGTGTAGCGACAAGTTCAATCGGTTCGACGCGCTGACCGTGCTACTGGGGATTATCGAGTTTGCGACCAACCCGCCGACGTTTATCGATGGCACACCGGGTGGCCCCGGCGCGTTCACGTCGTTCCGTGCGCTGCGCGCGCTCAAGATTGCACGGGCGTGGAAGGGTCTCAACAAGCTCTTGACGGCCATTATGAAGTCGTTTGGGGAGATTCTCAACTTTCTCTTCTTCCTCGTCATCTTTTGCTACATCTTTGCCCTCCTCGGCATGGAGGTCGTATGGATGGTGCGACGTCGATGCTAATACTATGTTGCTAGATTTTTGCGACCAAGTATCAATTCGACGAAAACAACTTGGCACTGCCGTACAACAATACGAACCCGACGTCGCAACTGCATCGAAGCAACTACGACAGCATGACGTGGGCCGTCTTCACCGTCTTCCAAGTCATCACATACGATAACTTTCCCAGCGTGACGTACGACGGCTGGATCAGCGTCGGGTGGGCCTCGCCCGTGTACCATGCCGCGATCATTGTGCTCGGTGTCTGGATCGTCATGAATATGTTTCTCGCCATTCTTGTCGGCGCCTGCATGGACGACGACGAAGGCGATTCCACCGAGACGGTACTCGACGATGCCAGAGACGACGACGGCGACGCGCCGCCACCAGGCCACGTCGTGCGCAACGTACGTCGGGCCAAGCGCGCCATGTTGCAATTGCTCACGTTCTTTGACGCGACGGTCTACGACCCGATCGTGGAAGAGAAGGCTGCGCATGCGAAATTCCATTTGAACAAGGGCGCCAGTCTCTTTGTGTTTGCGCCAAACAATGTCATCCGGGCGAGCTGCGTCGCCTTGCTCAAGCGGCGCGAGTGGTCGTGGTTCATTTCGCTCTCAGTGTTTGTGTCGTGCATCTTTACAGCCATTGACACGCCGCTGCTCGACCCGAATTCGGCGCTCGGGCAGTCCATTGCCGTCTCGAACAACCTCTTTGCGATCCTCTTCTCGGTCGAATTGTGCCTCAACGTGATTGCGAAAGGCCTCTTGTTTGGCAAAGACGCGTACGTGAAAGACGCGTGGCGGCTCCTCGACGGCTTCATTGTGACGGTCTCGGTGCTGCCCTACATGATTGGCGGTGGCAACGGCGCGCTCTCTGCACTGCGCGCGCTCCGGGGGCTTCGCGCACTGCGCCCGCTCCGTGTCATCAACAAGCTGCCGCAGCTCAAGATCGTCGTCAACACGCTCTTCCGGTGCATCCCGGACATCATCAACGCGCTCGTCTTCTTCATCTTCATGCTCTTCATCTTTGGCTTGATGGGCGTCACGTTCTTCAAGGGCGCGTTCAACTCGTGTTCCGTGAGCCCGTATACGTACACAGCGTTCCCACCGTGGTTCCCCATCCGACTACGCGGGTGACTTTCCCGTCCGGCTACGCAGGTGACTTTGTGACCAACATGACGAGCATCGACACCATGACGTACCCGGTTGCATGGAGCAACATGACGGCGAGTCAACGAGCGCCGTATGCAGCCGTATGGAACACGACGGGGTGCGGGCCGTTCGCAGACGACTACAAGCCAACGTCCAAGCAAATTTGTCTCTGCTTTGCGGCGACCCACAAAACCACGTGGGACCCGGTCGTGCCCCAAAAGTTTGACAATATTCTCTGGGCCGTCGGCGGCTTGTATGAGCTCACGACGATGGAGGCGTGGTCGCTCGCGGCCATGGCAGGCGTCGATGCGACGGGCGAAGACATGCAGCCGATCATCAACACAAACGTGGTCAACTTGCGGCCATGGCAGGCTTGTATGAGCTCACGACGATGGAGGCGTGGTCACTTGCGGCCATGGCAGGCGTCGATGCGACGGGCGAAGACATGCAGCCGATCATCAACACGAACCTGTGGATGATCCTCTGGTGGTGGCTCTACATGATTGTGTGCGCGTGGTTCGTCACCAACTTGTTCATTGGTATCCTCTGCGACAGCTTCTGCCGCGAGTCGTACGGTGCCGTCGTCACGGAAGAGCAAATCAAGTGGATCAAACTCCAAAAAAAAGTGCTCGCGCTCGCGCCCCAAGTGTACTACCCGTCGCCGAAAGACCCGTTCCGAAAACGCTGCTTCCAGATCGTGCACTACCGCTACACCGAGTACTTTGTCACGGCGTGCATCTTTCTCAACATCCTCACCATGTGCATGGACCAGTACGGTGACAGCGTCGCGTTCCAGGACGGTCTCGCCGTCTCCAACTATGTGTTTACGGGTGTCTTTGCCGTCGAGGCCTTTCTCAAACTCAACGCGTTTGGCTGGGCGTACTTTGACGACGCATGGAATCGGTTCGACCTTATGATCGTCGTCTTCACGGTCATTAGCATCCTCCTGCCGTTTTTTACAAAGTCGCTCAGTCTTGGCACCGCGATCACCGTCGTTCGCGTCTTCCGCGTCGGGCGCGCGCTCCGGCTCATCAAGCAAGCCAAGACGATGAAGAACCTCATTGACACGCTCATCGTGTCGCTGCCAGCCGTCGTCAACGTCACGAGTCTGCTCATGCTCCTCTTTTACATCTACTCGGCGCTCGGCGTGCAGTTCTTTGCCAAGGTCGCGTTGAACGACGAGCTCATCCACAAGTACCAGAACTTTCAAAACTTTTTCCGCGCGCTCCAAGCGCTCATTGGGTACAGCACGGGCGAGAACTGGAACAACTTTACATGGGAAGTCTACTACACGGTGCCCGCATCGAATCCCAACTGCGTCGACCGACCGTACAATGCGAGCATGTGTGGCTTCAACGACACCGAGTTTGACTGCATTCCCCTCGACGGCTGCGGCACGTGGGGCATTATCCCGTACATGTACTCGATGTACCTCATCATCGGGTATCTTGGCATGAACCTCTTCTCGGGTATCGTGATCGACGCGATTGGCGACTCGTCGACCGACTCGCCCGTGAATGCGAATACGCTGGCCGAGTTTGCCGAGCGGTGGGCCGACTTTGACCCGCGCGGGAGCGGCTTGATCACGGCCGAGGAGCTCGCGGACTTTCTCTACACGGTGTACCCGCCGTTTGGCTTCAAGGCCGTGCCTGGCTTCACCCGGCGCCGCGTCGTCATTGCGATTGGTTCTCTCCGCCATCATGAAATCCAATGTCGTCTCGCTAACACGACGTGGATGGATTAGGTCAGCTCGACATTCCAATCTACGACAAGGTCTACGTCCATTTCAAGGACGTGCCCCGTGCCCTCGTGACGCGCGTACTGGCCGAGGTACGCAGCTGCTGATCTAATGTAGCTGCATGGCTGTGTCTAGGGCGACCCGGCCAAGCACGCGGAGATCAACAAGCTCATGGATCAAATGGGCATCAACAAGCAATTTGAAGAGATTTGGCACCGCCGGCGCGGCAAGAAGCAGAAGGAGCGACTGCTCCAGCGCGAAGTCGGGCCCGTCAAAGAGTACTCGGCCAGCGTCGTCATCCAGCGCTTCTTGACCAAGAGCAAGCTGCAGCGCCAACATGCGCGGTCGACGACCTCCCGACACCTTGCGACGGGCACTTCGCAGACAGGAATGCACCCAGACGAGTCGGGCGTCCCACCCCCTTTAGACATGGACCAAGCCCCGGACAGCGCGGCCACCGACGGTCTCGAGCCGAGCCAGAACCGACGCGACATGAACCTCGAGTCGATGGAAGGTCCGGACGCGGGTGAAACCTCGGGGTCTGCGGCCGCAAGTCCGTGAGTGTCCCAAGTGTAGTTGGTATAATTTATGATTCATACGTTCCGTATTTAACGACTAGAATATGACAATCGAGTGAACAATTTGTCCTTGACCCAGCGACCACGATTTGCCGTGATGCGATTGGTTAAAATTCACGCGTCTTGTCCAATCACACGACGTGGCGATCGAAATCCGCAAGCGCCAGGTTCCCATTTCGACGAGAGTATGAGCCAGAGCGACATGGCGACGATGGCCGTGGCCGAGACCGAGAAGCGCGGGGCTGGGGACGCCGGCGCCGAGGGCCGCGCGGACGTCCGCATCCACCCCCTCGTGCTCATGAACCTCTGCGACCACTGGACGCGGGCGCATGCCGGGGCCAAGCAGGTCATGGGCGCCCTCTTTGGCATCCAGAAGGGGCGCAACATCGAGGTCATGGACTCGTTCGAGCTGCCGACGCCCGCGGAACTCCAGTCGGCGGACAGCCCGGCGACGCTCAAGACCTTTCTGACGGAGCGCACGGAGCAGTTTGCCAAGGTCTTTCCCGGCTTTGAGTTTCTCGGGTGGTACGCGGTCCAAGACAAGATCCAGGCCTCCGACTTGGCCACGCACCGCATGGTAGACATGTGCTCGCGATGCATGCATGTATGAACGTTCGAGTAGCTCATGGAGTTTAACGAGAGCCCGCTCTTTCTGGTGCTGGACCCGACGCCGCCGCCGGCTACCAAGGGCGACAACGTCAAGCTCAAGCTGCCGCTCTCGCTCTACGAGTCGGAGCTCCATATGCTCAACAACACACCGACGATGCTCTTTGTCAAGACGCAGTTCAAAGTGCACACGACCGAGTCGGAGGGGATTGCGCTCGACCACATCTCCAAGGTGGCGCCCGGCGGTGCCGCCACCGAGTCGTCCCGTACGTGTACTACGTTCCTTCGTGGTCCATGACGATGTCGTATATTGTATTAGTGCATGGCGGTCTGGGCTCGATGCGCGATGCAATCCTCATGCTTGACAAGCAGCTCGGCGTCCTGCGCGCGTACTTGGAAGCGACGAAGCGAGGTATGGGTCGCTTCCACGGCGCTGCGTCTCCCTGCATCACACTAGGTGATATCCCCGTGGACCACGCACTGCTTCGCCAAGTCGCGAGCATTTGCCAGCAGCTCCCTGCGATGCGCTCGGACCTCTTTGCATCGACGTTTTCCCAGGTACGTCTCTGGCTCGCCATCCATGCTGCATCATGTTTGGTATAGGAGTACAATGACACGCTGCTCGTTACGTACTTGGCGACGATCACAAAGGGCATTACGTGCACGAACGCGGTGCTCGACAAGTTTGCGATGACGCAGGACCGGCAGCACCCGCGCGGCCCGATGCTCTAAAATGGCGCATACAACGTACTCCTGCGGTTGCTGCTGTTGCTGCTTGTGATTCTTATGCATCGGGGGTGGCCAGTCGAATCGTGTAGTGCTCGTTCGCGTCCCAGACCGTCTCGAGCAGCGCCGACGGCCCGTCTCGACCGGCACGATCGTCGTGACAAATGGCGGTGCCAAGAGCAGCTTTTGCAGGTGGAGCACGCCAAACCGACTGTGGCTCGTGGCGTTGACAAGGTACGCGACACCTACGTCACGTCCGCAACCGACGCTAAGTGCGGGGATGAATGGAATACCGTTGGGCTTGAGTCGGTGGCGCACCACATTGGCAAAGCCTTCGGCCGTGCTGGGCTCACAAATGATGTCGCTGGCCATGACAATGTCGACCTTGGGCGCCGACTAGGCAGCCACGACATTGGTGAGCCCGTGCTAAAGAGAGGTCGCAGTACAAGGTCCAGATGATCCCAATCGAGGTGCTCCATGCTCACGTGCGACGTCGCCGTCGCGTCAAAGTTGAGATCGACGTTGTATTGAAGCGCGTCGAGCGTATCTTGCTGGTAGTCGGTCATGGTCATCTGTTGGCTGTACGCGGCGGCCACGATGCCGCTGAGGCCGAGCCCGCTGCCGACTTCAAGCACGCTGCGCTCGTGGAAGAGCTCCCTGCCATATCCATGATTCATCGTCAACATGTGAGGTCGATGGAAGGAACCGGTTGAGGTGGACCCAGCGGGCCAAAATGACAGCCGCGCCCCACAAGAGGTACCCCGTCTTTGGCTGGCCCGTCATGCGCGTCTTGACCGCGCGAATGAGCACCACTTGATCCTCTTCGTCCCGGGCATCGGCTGGCAGCGCTTGCAGAAGCGGCCACGCGCGTGTCGGGGGCTCGAGCGGCAGCGTTCTACCACCGGCTTGTAATGAATGTGTCACGAGAGTGAAGATGGCGCGCACTTGAAGGGAAACGACGTGTTGACGCCGGACGTATTGGCCTTCTTGGACGAGCAGTTGACGACCACCGCCGACGCGCCCTAGAGGCAACGTGTTGAACCGATGCTTTGCCGATGTCATGGGAACATCAGTACATCTTGGATCAACTCGTGCTCGTGCATGAGGAGCTTCATCAGGACAAAGTGCATGCCCAGCTGCGCTAGTAGCCGCGACGAACAGATGAGTCGCGTAATCTCTCGTCATATAGAATAGAAACAAGTATAATAGTAGTACCTGCATGGACGCAGTTGTCTTCGTCCATAATGACGTCGGCCACGAGCATCAAGATCTATGGTACGTATACATCTGCCTCCAGCGCCGCAATCGATGGATAGGACTACCTCGTGCATGCGCGCAATCGTGCGTTCGTCGTCCTGGGCGCGGCCCTTTGTAAAGGCCGAGAGCTCGTGCATTGCATACTCGAGAAAGCCCGCTAGGAAGAAAGACATCATTGCCGCCGTCAACCGCGTCAAGCGAGGTACCAATGCCGAGGAAGCAACGACCGAGGCCGCTGGTCGACCAGACGCGAAGGCGGTCGAGGGCATGCGACGCGAGCGCATCGCGCATCTCGGCGACGAGCGCATGCAGCGACGAGACGGCCACAGGCATGCTAGCGCAAAATCCACTTGTTCAAGCGACCAATGAAACCCACCGTGCAACAGATGGCACCTTGAAGAGAGCACGCAACTTGAATGCGCTGCGTCGATGCGCTACTACGAGTCGCTGGATCCAATCGCAATACCAGCCTGCCAGCAAGGCTGCGCGGCAAGCGAACAGGGCGCTCACAACGCTTCTGGATACAATTTGTACCGAGCCGAACGCCGAGAGTCTGAAGAGTCGCTTTGCGTGCGGATCCATTGGCTAAAAACACCGCGATTGAAGGCCGAGTTCCTCGGACGAGACGATGCATTAAGAAGTTGTGAACGGGAATGAAGAAGTAGAAATGATTGAAGGCCAAGCTCCTCGGACAAGACGATGCATTAAGTTGTGAACACACCTCGAGCATACTATTACGTCGCTCGAGGCGCGACGTGTACTTATTGGTGCAGCACCGCGAGCCGCGGTTCGTTGTGCAGTCGCTGGTCGAGCTCGGCGTACTTTTGCAGCGCGGTTTCTTCGTGGCGCGTCAAGCGCTGCTCAAGGATTTGAATCCGAAACATGGTTTCGCTGCAGAAGCGCTCGAATTCCTCGTCCGTGCCCTGGTCGTGCTCGCGCTGGCTGCGCTGGAACGCCGCCTGCTTCTTGGCGAGCGCGCTGTTTTCTTTATCGAGCCGCGTCTGAATAATGTTGGCGCGCTCGAGAAGCCGCTCCTTGAGGTTCTTCAAGCACAAGTCGCGCACGGCATGGGCTTCGTCCTTGGTGAGGCCATGGCTCCCATGGTGGTGCTTCCCGACAGCTTGTAAGAAGGGCGACAAGTAGTCCATCTCGACTTTGGCCTACACGCGTGTCTCGTATGACGTTGCTACGTTGCGATGATGTGACCTCTTTGCTTTGCTTGCGCTGCTCCTCGGCCGCGTCGGCCTTGGATTCGTCTTCCTCCGCGTCAAAAATGCTCGTCTCGAGCGTGATCGCGGCCTCTTCGCGCTTGCGGTACTTGAGAATCTCCTGCGTCTCGACGTCCACGTGCCGTATCGCATTGTAGCATTCCTTCTCCATCTACCGATATCGGTCAAGTCTCGATCCCAGAAATCGCAGCACCTGAATCGCGGCCTGGAGCTCCCGCTCGAGAAGCGTTTCCTTGGGGCGCGGCGCCGTCGGGTCGACTTGGAAGACGTCGACGGGCGTGTTGGGCGCCTTGTGGTACACGCGGCTCGCCGACGTGATCTTGCCCTCAGCATAGTGAAATTGGACGCGGATCGTGCCTTCGCGCACATTGTACGTGCGCTTGCGGGCATCCTATAATCAGTACTATGTATCAACGTATCAAGCTGCCATCAACCGACCTCGTCAGCGTCGCGATCCGGGTTCCGGCCAAACTTTTCCGCCATGCGACGCACCGTGAGCTCGCCGGTCGCGCCGCCCGGTAGCACAAACGGCGTCGGTGTCTTGGATATGGCCTCGGCGTGGTCCTTCTCTTCCGAGAGCGTCACGCTGCGCTGCTCGAGGTAGTCGTCCCGTCCAGAGAAGGTCTCGGTGATGTGCTTGTGCACGAGCTCTTCGCGCTTCACGAGGCCGTCCATGCGCGCGGTCGTGTAGAACGTCAGCTCGCGCCGGAACCCGCTCCACTCGATGCGCGATTTTAAAGCTTCGGGCTGCCGGCCCGGCAAAAAGTGCTCTTCAAACTTGCCTTGCAACGGGTACCGAATGCGCAAGTGCAGTTTGTCCTTTCGGTTCTTGAAGAGCTCGCGGATCTCGATCGGCAGCGTCCGGCTCCGGTTGCGATACAGCGTGAGCCGCCGCACCATGCCTTGGGGGTGCGTGTTGTCGGCAAAGTCTTCGACCTTGGATTTCTCATAGAGGGTCGCGCGCTGCGCCTCGTTGACGTACCGCTGCTTGTAGCGCTTGCGCTCGACGTGCAGCTTGACGACCCAGGACGGCGGCACGTCAAGGATGTTGCTCTCCTCGTCATTCTCGCCGCCAGGGTCGCTGCCATCGCCCGCGTTGTTGCTGCCGCCTTCCAGAAGCGTGTCGTGGACCTTGCCGCTTTCGCCATGCGAATTCTTTTCTTCTCGAGCGACGACAAGAAGACGTACTCCCAGTCGGTCGCATGCCCGAGGTCGTACAAGCACTGACTCAGCCGGTGCGGCTGCATGTTGACAAAGTAGTTTTGATGGTTCCACACGCTCTCAATACGCACGTAGGGCGAGTCCCGCACAGGGTACAACCGCCCCGTCGATGGCTCGATGAAGACGTGCTCGGTCACATCGCGCCGGCCCGCGCGGACAAGCACCCAGGCGTGCACACGCTTCCCCTCGAGTGGGTCGTCGTCGTCGTCGTCGTCGTCATCCAAGTGCTTGGTCCAATCCTGCATGGCGGCGACCTCAGCGCGCCTTGCCTCTTCCTTGGCCTCCATCATGGCCACAAACTTGCTCGTCGGCTTGGGTACGGCCGTGTCATCATCGGCCACTTTGCTCTCGCCGTTGACCTTGCCATCGTGCGCCTCGTCGAGCTTGCCGATCGTGTCGAGGAAAGGGCAGATCGTCCGGCTTTGGTCGAGGAGGCACACCCAGCGCGGCGCAAAGCCGTTGACGACATAGGCGTCGTAGCCCGACCCGATGAGAAACGAGACGAGGAGGTTCGCGAGATCGAACGCGTCGCCCGACTGCCAGTGGAGGACCGCGGCCGGCGATGGCAGACACAACGGCGGCTTGCACGGATCCGCGAGCGGCTCGTACTCGATGAGCCCCGACACAAAAGTCGCGAGCTTCTCGAGGTTGTAGAGCTCGAGGAACGGCAGCAGCGTCGGGCGGAGCGTCGTGCACACAAACTTGGGAATGCCACACTCGTTCGGCGGGCAGAGGTACAGAGGCGGCCGACCGCTGTCGGGCAAAAGCTCTTCAAACTGCTTGCGAAAGTTGGCCACGTACTCGAGGCAGAGCAGCTCCTTGTTCGTGTTGGCCGTGTACGACGGTGGCGCGACGTCGCCGGCCGCGTCTTCGAGGCGCCGGTGCTTGGTGCTCACGACGCCAGCGACCGTGAACTGGCGGGGCGCGGGCGCGCTCTGGAAGAGGTTTTGCCGCTCCGAGAAGTCGACCTCGTCGTTGTTGTCGGGCATGACGGCGGCTCTTCAAGATCTACCGTCGCGCCGCTTCCTGTAACACTTCCGCCGCGTATAACATGTGTGTGACGCCTGTTAGACGCTATAGCGCTTATTATACGCAAACACGCAAGGTGCGTTTTTCTCTTAGCACACTATTTATAAAAATGCAGGAGTGCAAATGGTATTACCGACCACTGTATGACCTTGAAGTTGCCCGACCCATCGTCGCACGCACGGCGCCGCAGCACCAATGACCGCGCAGTACTAGAGCAAAAGCAGTTGCTCGCCAGTCACAACGACAACGACCTGGTGTATAATATACACGGAAATAGTGTACCTTCTAGGGTGCCATTATATGTGGCACCCTAGAAGGTACACTATTTCCGTGCAGCTTGGGGGCGGCGATCCGGATAAATAAGATTTGAGATGATGCTCCGCAGCGTCTTGCGCCGGCCGCAGCCTCTCGCGCGGAGCTTTAGCATCGCCCACGACGAGATCGTCGCCCTCGCGCAGGTCTCGCCGACGCCGCTGACGCTGCAGCAGATGAAGACGTTCGCGACGAACGGCCCCGAGCTGCGGCTCAAGGCGGCTCCCTTCGTGCACAAGGAGCTGCAGATCCGCTTTGCGCGGTGCGTCGGTCGCCGCCACCAAGAGGCTCACGCTCTACGATAGCGCGATTGTCGAGCTCTCGGAGCTGCCGATTGGGCTCAACGAGACCAAGGCTGTTCAAATGGCCATCCGCAACTACACCGACCACCTCGAGAGCGTGCGCGCGGCCAAGGTCCCGACGACGCTCGTACGTACGCCCATGCACTAGTCGTATGCGTGAAGGCCATCGCGTGATGACATAGGAAGAAGACGCTGCGTTTACGACCATGATCCGCGCCATGAAGAAGCGCGGGTCCAACCTGGTGCCGCTCATTTGCGGCGGTCTCCAAGAAGCTCGTACGTACGCCCATGCACTAGTCGCTGCGTCTTCAAGAGATCCAAGTGCGATATCTGATCCTCGCGTCGTTCTGTCTTATACGTGCCATGAAGAAGCGCGGGTCCAACCTGGTGCCGCTCATTTGCGGCGGTCTCCAAGAAGTGAGCCACACGGAGGAGGGCCGCAACGCGCTGCGTCTTCAAGAGATCCAAGTGCGATATCTGATCCTCGCGTCGTTCTGTCTTATACGTGATGACGCACAGGACAGCGTCAACACGCACTTGGACACATTCTTCCTCTCGCGCATTGGCATTCGCATGCTCATTGGCCAGCACTCGACGTACGTCGCACTACAGTGCCATGCGCCATCGTATTAATAGTGACGGCGGCCGCGTCAAGCTCTGCGACGTGCAAGACATTGTGCGGGAAGCGAGCGAGCGGGCAAGTGCGCTCTGCGAATTGTACTGCGGCACGCCCCCCAAGGTCATTGTCAAGGTCGCTGCGAACGGCGCGGCGCCCTTTATGTATGTGCGATCGCACTTGCATCACATGGTAGTCCTACGCCCCATCTTCGTCGTTTCTGCATTTTATGCGACGATTTGAGGTGTTTGAGCTGCTGAAAAACTCGATGCAAGCCACGGTCGAGCTCTACGGCCCCAAATCACCGCGTCGTGAGACATGTTCGGTCATGGACACCAAGCCCAAGATGAACCACATGAGCCCGCTCCTCGGCTTTGTGATTCCCGATGTCCGTTCAGTTTCGGCAAGGATAGTTTGTATTCTTATCCTCGTAGATGGATCACCTCGACGGTATCTCGATCTTCCCGCACCACACCAACTCGTTGCGGTAATACGTCTATGCATGCAACGAGCGACCGACGACCGTAGTGGCATAGGGGTGAGTTGCCGCCGATCACGGTCGTCATCTGCCAAGGCCAAGAAGGTTCGCAGGACTGTCGGAACGATCGATTTTACTCGTAAACTAGACTTGACGATCAAGATCTCGGACGAGGCGGGCGGCGTCCGTCGTAGCGATTGGCACCGCCTGTGGTATTACAACTACACGACGGCGAGCAAGGAGCCGCCGCAAGCGCTCGCGACGGGCGACTTTCGGGAACACTTTAGCGGCGGCGGGTACGGGCTCCCGATCGCTCGGCTCTTTGCGCGGTACTTTGGCGGCGAGATCACGTTCCTCTCGTCCGAGGGGTATGGCTCGTCTGCGTTTATCCAAGCGCACCGTCTCGGCAAGCAAACCGAGCTCGTGCCGGGCCACACCACGTTTACCCTCCAGCCGCTCAAATTTTAACCCTCGATGCTCTGAACGATATCCAGCAATAATAACGTCGTCCATTTCATCGACACATATTGTCCACAAAATGCTCGACGCGTGGAGCCAAGCGAAACAACCTTGTTAGCGAGGCATCGAGAAGGTTCATCAAGGGCCGACTGTAGTATACGGAGCCCAAGTACTAGCCGACGAGGTCCAACGCCGACGCGTTAAAGACGGGTTTTACTCGTTCCCGGTGTCGAAGGGACGCGTTCTGCATCTCGCAAGTCTTCTTAAAAGAAATGTAGAACGGCCCTTGACCGCCATCGAAGCTGCCGGCAGATTCCCCACAAGGCGATAGACGCGACGCCAGAAGCGCCAATCACGTTGCAGCGCGCCGGTGGCGTCAACAGCCCACCCGTCTTTCGAGACGCTTACGGGACCGACGGCTGCCATTTCTGGCATCGCCGCACGCACACCAAGATGGCTCGAGGCACAGGCTCGATCTAGAATCTGGTCGTGCCAGATTCGTCGATGGCGTCGGCCAGATTCAGCCCGTTTCGGCGGCCCGCCGCAATCCATGTCTAATGCGTGGCTGTGTGCCCGGCCATCCGGATACGACAAGCATCCGGATATAGATTGAAAGCGCCGTCAGTTTGGTGGCAGACAAGAATTCGTCGCGTGTCGGTCATGCGCCGTGTGTACGCGGTGTCCCGCCGCCGGTGGCTCTCGTCCGCCGCGTCCCAATTGGCCTTGGACCCTTGCCAGAGCGATGGCCGCACCGACGGTGACGCGAGATGCGTCATCCGCCTCGAGGCGCTGCATGCACCCGAGCTCGTCGAAGACCTCAAGGCTGCGCGTCGGGATGCGGCCACGGGCCGCTTCGTGCATCCTGCCCACTGGAAGTACGAGATGACGACGCTCATGGACGTTCTCAAGTGGAAGTGGAACACGACGACCGACGGCCCATGCGTGCCGACGGACGTCGCCGAGCTCGACGCGACGCTGCCAGTGTTGACGCCCGACTTTGCACCCGCGATTCCCATCGACCACGCGCGCATGACGTGGCTCGGCCACGCCTCTGTCTTGCTCGAAGTGCCCGTGGACGCCAACGGGCGCAAGATGACAGTCTTGACCGATCCCGTGTTTACAGAGCGCTGCAGCCCCGTGCAGTGGGCCGGCCCCAAGCGATACCGGCCAGCGCCGCTTCAAGTCGCCGACCTGCCGAATGTAGACGCCGTCGTGATCAGTCACAACCACTACGACCATTTAGACGAGACGACGATCTCGGAGCTCCATGCGCGGTTTCCGACACTGCAGTGGTTTGTGCCGCTCGACAACACTCGGTTTTTGGCGCCACTGGGTATTCCCGTCGGCCAGATCACGGAGCAAAACTGGTGGGACGCAACGCGTGTGACGCTGCAAGAGGCCGAGTTTACCTTCTCGCTCGTGCCTGCCATGCATTGGAGCCGCCGGTACTTTCACGACACGAACCGGTCCCTCTGGGGCGGCTGGGTCGTCCAAGGCGTCGGCGGCTCGTTCTACTTTTCCGGTGACACGGCCTACTGCTCGTCCTTCAAGGCGATTGGCCACCGGTTTGGCGAATTCAGCGCCTCGGCCATTCCGATTGGCGCGTACGGGCCGCGCCATATCTTTGGTTTGCAGCACTGCGACGTGGCCCAAGCCATCCAGATCCACGAGGACGTCTGTAGCAAATCGTCGCTAGGGATCCACTGGGGCACGTGGACGCTCACGGGCGAGCACTATCTGGAGCCCAAGCGTGATCTGCAGCGGCTCATGGCCGACACGAATGATCCGGATGCGTTCTACACGCTCGACCATGGCGCGTCACGGATCGTGCGGTGGCGACTCGATTGATATGTGTCTTCTTGTCTCTCAACACGAGTCGTAACAAGTAGTCTGTACACATCGTCGTCGTCTTGCATCGCGTACAGTACGGGCGGTTGCGCGTCGGTCGATAACGCTGGCTAAAGATAGCCGCGCGCAACGGACCTCGTTCGCTCGACGCCTGCCACACCACTTGCGTTTTTGCCGGCATGTTTGACGAGCCATTGCTTCCGATGTCGGTGCCCGACGAGCTGCGCTGCCGCTACAAGACGGGCAAGTGCCCGTACCCGCGCGCGATCAAATTCAACAAGAAGGACGGGTCCGGCGCGCGCCTCCTCCTCTGCGAGCGCCACCGGCGGCTCCAAAACAAGACCAAGAAGCGCAGTGACGTCAAGTACAAGGACGACCGCGCGATTCTCCGGGTCGTCAAGCGGCTCACGCCCGACGTGCCGATGGCGACGCTCCAGATGGCGCGGCTCACGAATGCACCAACGACGCCCGATGAGTTGCCGGCGTTTTCGCCATATGAGCTCGACATGCTCGCCTACTACCTCTTATGACCCACCAATGTCCATGCTTGATGTCTTGATACTTGTAAAATACACGTGTGTACATTGGTGTCGTGGCAGAAGTCGCCTTAGGCAAACGACTCCATGAGCGGGAGACGCTTGACGATCGCAGGCTTCTCGACCTCTCGGAGCAGCTTGAAGATGCCCGTCCCGACCGCAATCGGGATGCCCATAATGATGCACTCGCTCACGCCGACAATGGCATCCGTGCGCGAGTGAACCTACCATCCGACATTCAGCATAAGAAGACGACTAAGAACGAGGTGCGTACCGCAGCGTCAAAGAGGTGGTCGGTCGTCTTCTCGAACGACGCAAGCATCAGGACACTCTCCTTCATCTTGGCGATACCAAAGCGCGTGATGCCCAGCACCTCGCCCTTGAACGTCATAATGTCCGAGAGCAGCATGAGATGGCGCCGGTCAATGCCAATGCCGTAGGCGCTCATGATGTAGCTCACTTCGGACGCAATGAGGTGGCGTGCGGCTTCGATACCGAGCGTCTTCTCGACCTCGATAATGTGGTTGGAGGTCGTGTGGCGCCCGTCGACGCCGGGCATGCCCATGACGTCGCTGAGGCCGTAGCCTTCGACGAGCAAGTGAAGCTTCTTCTCCTTCCCTTCCTCGTAGTTGATGACCGCGCGGTTGACCGTCGGGATACCCTGCACAATCACGTGCGGTAGCGCCGCCTTGAGCGCTTGGAGAGCAAAGTACATGGTGCAGCGCGTGTCGCCGGCCGCCGACGCCTTGTACTTGGTCGGCGCCAAAATGCGGAGCTTGTCCGGACGCCGGGCGTTCAAGAGCACGTGGGGCTCCTTGAGAAGCCGGACGATGCTGCGCGGCGGCGCGCCGACGGCGGCGAGAATGGCCTGGCGCACGGTGCGGGCGTCGATCGTGAGCTGGAGCGCCGAGATCGCGTCCATGTCGAGCTTCACCGACAAATACGCTTGGTCGCGCGCAAACACCTCCTTGATGTGGACCGCGATTTCACCAAGCGTTGTCTTTTCAATGCAGCCCTTGACGATGCGCGCGCTGCGCTCGTCGTCCGAGCAGACGAGCGCGGCGGTGATGATGGGCGTCGAGATGTTCTTGCCCGCGTTGATGATCTCCTTGAGGCGCGGCACACCGAGGGTTACGTTCATGGACGCGACGCCGGCAAAGTGGAACGTCTTGAGCGTCATCTGCGTACCGGGTTCTGAAATCGACTGCGCGCCGATCGCGCCGACGGCCTCGCCCGGTGGTACTTGGTGAGCGACACCTCGAGGATCTTCTCGCACTGCGACCGCGTGAGGCGGCACACATTGTGCACGAGGAGGCGCGCGGCTTCTTGCGCCTCGACGCTGCCCGCGACCTTGGCCTTGAGCTGCCACTTGGTCAAGAAATCCTTGCTCGCAAACGACGTGTGCCACGACGGCGTGCTGACGTAATGGAGCGCGTCCGTATCGACCGCCTCGGGAGATGCCTCGAGCGCCGCCTTCTTGCCCTTCTTGGTCGATGCCGCCGTCTTCTTGGTCGTGGCGACAAGGACCTTGCTCTCCGGCTCGACCTTGGTCGGTTCGTGTTCGAGCATGAACGCCCGCTCGAGCTGCGCAGCGTACGGTGTCAGCGACGGGTCGTCGAGCGACGGGAGCTGCACGGCCGCGCGCACGGCCGTGAGCTTGTCGGCCGCCGCGTAAAAGAACTCTTCGATTTCGATAAGAAACTTGCGGCCGGACGGAAGAATCGACTGGAACTGTGGCCGCTGCACCGCCTCTTTCCCAAGGGCGCGGAGCTCCGTGGGCGAGAGGGCGAGGCCCGTGCGGTCCGGGTCCGTGTTGACGACGTGCGTCAAGAGGCGCTGAAAGTCCACCGGACGGTCGTCGCCTTCCATGAACGCCGGGTTGAGACCATCGTCACCGTAGGTAAACTGAACGACACTGCCCTCCGAGTTGCGCACGGTCGCGTCGTACTGGCAGCTCAAGTCTTCGAGCGCCTTCATGAGACGACGCGCCATGTAGCCCGTCTCGGCCGTCTTGACAGCGGTATCGACAAGACCTTCGCGACCACCCATGGTATGGAAGAAGAACTCGGTCGCTGTCAACCCCGAGTAGAACGAGTTGGCGACAAAGCCCTTCGCAGCCGCATGGAGCGCATACGGCAAAAAGTGCGGCAGCGTCCGGTTCACGAAGCCCTCGGGCGCGCGCTTGCCGCCGACCGACTGCTGTCCGACGCACGCCACCATCTGCGAAATGTTGAGCGGCGAGCCCTTCGAGCCGCACTCGGCCATGATGCGCGGGTTGTTGTGGAACGGCAGCGACTGCATGCACTCGCCACCGGCCGTCTCACGGAGCTTGCCGAGGAGACCGTTGAGTTCGCTCTCGAGCGACTGGAGCGGGTTGCACCCGGGCTTGAGCGTGAGCTTGCCGCGGCGGTAGTCCTCGATCGTCGCGTTGGCCTTGGCGTACCCGTTGTCCAAGAGGTCCTTCTTGACCGCGTTGAGCTCGTCGGACGGCGTGACGTCGTCAATGCCGATCGAGAAGCCCTTAAAGTTGCCGAGCCAGCGCGCGCAGAGCTTGGCGAGGCGGTTCATGCAGCGCGCGGCCTCGGCCGATCCGTGGTCGCGAATCAGCACGTAGAAAAGACCCTTCTTCGAGCCGTCGCCGAGCGTCTTCTTGCACAAGTTGCCCGAAAGGAGCTCGGAATTGCGAAAGACAACGTACCCGTCCTTGTGGCACATGCTCAAATTGTGCGTGTAGTTGCGCTCCTTGAGCTCGAGGTTGACCATGACGCGGCTCTTGCGGTTCGGGCGGATGAGGAGACTCATGACCTGCTTGCCGGTCCAGAGGCGGATCGGGAGCACGATCGCGGCTTCCGGGAGCTCAATCTCGTCGAGGCCGTCGCCCATGAGCGTCAGCACTTGGCAAAACTGCTCGCGGTTGAAAAACACATTTTTCTGCGTCAAGAGGTACGCGGCCGTGAGGAAATCCTGCGTCGCTGCCACGAGCGGCTCGCCATTGCGCGACGTAATCAAGTTGTGCGGCACGGCCATGAGCGTCGCGGCTTCCGCGCGCGCCTCTTCGGTCTGCGGCAAGTGCATGTTCATCTCGTCGCCGTCAAAGTCGGCGTTGTACGGCGAGCAGACGCACTCGTTGAAGCGGAACGTACGCCACTGAAGCACCTTGGCGCGGTGGCTCATGATACTCATCTTGTGCAAACTCGGCTGGCGGTTGAAGAGCACAATGTCGTCGTCTTCCATGTGGCGCTCGACGATGTCGCCTTCTTTCAAGTCGTCGGCGAGGCTCGCGCGGTCGCCGTACATGAGGTTCTTGGTGTATTTCTGGCCCTCGATGCGGATCGCGTTTGCACCCGGGTGCACGGCCGGGCCGTTGATGACGCACTGCCGGAGCTTGGCAATGTTGTAGCGCGTCACCTTTTCCGGGTACGTCATGACACGTGCCACCTATTTCATCAAGAGATGAGTGTCACCATGAAAATAGATATAAAGCGTACGTGCTCGGGCACACCGACTTGGTCGATGCGCAGGTTCGGGTCGGGCGAAATGACGGTACGCGCCGAAAAGTCGACGCGCTTCCCGGACAAGTTGCCGCGGAAACGACCTTGCTTGCCCTTGAGGCGCTGGCAGAGACCGCGAATGGGCTTGGGCGCGCCTTGGAGCTTGGTCAAGCCCGGCGTGTCGCCGTTGATGAACTGGGCGACTTGGATCTGGAGAAAGTCCCAGTCTTCCATGACCATCTTGAGCGTCGCGCCCTTGGAGAGCGCGGCTTGGAGGGCAAAGTTGACCTAATCCATCCGTTTTGGTATAAATGAAAAATGCATCAATGTATCAACCTGAATGATTTCTTGGAGCTTGACAGTCAAGTCGTCTTCGTTACTGCCGCTGCCAACGTCCATCGCGACACTGGGCCGGATGCAAACCGGGGGCACGAGGAGCGAGTTGAGAATGAGCTTCTCCGGACGACCGACGTCGGCGTTGACCCAGAGCAAGTCGCAGTCCTAGACGACCTTAATGCATCGGGGATCGATAGGACAACATGTCATCGTACCTGGTCGGGGATGCGCTTGAAGAGCTCCTGGACGACGAGCGGGCTCAGATCTTCTTGGGCCTTGGCGAGGAGCGCGTTGGTCATCTCTGCGTTCTGCGATTGCGCCTGCGCAAACTGCGCGACGAACACGGTGCGCATGTCGTGGGCGGCTTTGGCGCGGTACTTTTCGTGCACGAGCTTGAGCGTCGGGCACGCGATCTTGCGCACGGTACCGTTGATGCCGTCGCAGTGCGGGCAGCGCACGACCTTCTTGCAGAGCGCCGAGATCTTCTTGCGCGTGTTGATCTTCTTGAGCGCGTCCGCGGTCGGGTCGCGCATGCGCCGGAGGTAGCTCTCGCGCACGTCGGGCGCCAGCAAGACGCGGCTGCACTCTTTGCAGATGTTCTGGAGGATCTCGAGCGTCGCCTTGATGTAGCCAATGTGGAACACGGGCAGCTCCAAGTTGACGTAGCCAAAGTGCCCGACGCAGTCCGAGAGCTTCAAGTGGCACGTGTCGCACTCGTCCGTCTTGTTGGAGATACCGAGCCGCTTGTCCAAGACGCCAAACTTGGCCGGTTCGCGCGCCGGCATGGTAAAGAGGTCCCTATCGCCGGCCATGAGTCCATAGCATCGCGTCGATCATGGATGGTGTACTTGGAGTGCACGGGGATCTCGGACATCTGCATCATGTCCGTGGACGAGAGCAGGCCAAAGTTGAGGTGGCTGATCTTCGATGGCCGATCATTCTCGAGGACGAACTGCTTCACGAGCGGGTTCCGGCGGCTCATCGCGCCCGGCGCTGCAGTCCCGTTCATGGATGGCAAAAGGAAACCTGACCAAACACCACTCATCTTGGCGTAGCCCCCTCCCCTGGGGGGACCCCACCGAACGCATACCTAGGATTCGCTCCAACCCAGCCGTTTACGGTAGGGGGACCTACGAAATACTGCGAAACTGGGACACGACGAATCACGCGGACCAATGAGCGCGCTCCATTGGCGTGGCACATGGCGGCAGCCATGCGATCTTGCAGCGACATCATATACTGTATCGTCTTGGCGTTGAGAGCAACAGCACCTTGACCGACAACGACGCCGTCGCGAGCAGCTCCACGACCATCTTATAATCGTGTTGCTCTAGCTGTTATACCGTCCTTTAAAATGTTATCTTCGACTTCTCACTTCAGTACACCACCAATACTGAACAGGCAAGAGCCCAAATCCCTCGACACCACAGGACTTTTCAACGAGTTTGTCTCGACGAGCACCATGCGAGGCGTGGACCTTCGAACGTTGGTCTACTGCTATTATGACCACGAGTACATTCCGTTGTCTAGAATAGGCTGAGGGCTCTTCTGGTCGACCCAGTGGAGCTGCGTCGGTTGCGCCGACGGTCCCGATGGCCGGCACTCGTAGAGCTGGCGCTCGATGTGGCGCATGAGCTGCGGCGAGACATAGTGGTACGCAATCGTCTCGGCGGAGCAGCAGTCGCGCTGCCACTGGACGCCGCCGAGGTCGCGATGAAACTCGTTGAACCTATTGTCTGGTTCAACCACACATCTCGACACGATACTATATGACAGTGCACACCACATGGAGGGTGCAAACGCGGTCGGGTTGGTCCAGTACACCCCCTCTATGTACTCGACTCTTCAAATGCGCACATATATAGGATAGCCAGGGTACGGGGGTTGTTGGCATGCCAGCGCTCTCGGCCATGGAGGTCGCGCGTGTTGGTCGGCGTCGCGCCCGCCCACGCCATGCAAAACGCGATCGCTGCATCGTCCGGCACCATGTCGCTTGTCTCGTCGCTCAAGCAGCGTCGGCTCGGGAACGATGCGACCGCTCGCTGCACATACAATCAGCATCGCTCCACCGACGACAGATCAAGATACCTGCATGTAGAGCTTGTTCATGGCGTAGCCGGGTCCACCCGAGTTGAAGACCCACCTACACGTCCCTTGAGTATACGGAAAGAAGCCAAGACGAGGGCCCACCCATCGGTCCAGCGTCGTCGATACTCGTCGAGCACCGCTTTGTCTTGGACGTAATACTCGATGAGGTCGTCGGGTAAGCGGAAGCGATGGCCCAACTGAAGCGGCACGAGGTCCGTCTGCATCGCGATCTCTGGCGACCGCAAGTAGGCGCGGAGGTTCTCGAGGATGACGTAAGCGTCGTCGTCGGCTTTGTAAAACCAGTCGTACGCATGGCCGTACGTCGCCCAAATGTAAGCCAAGCTGGCCTTGTGCTTCTGCCACAAGTGGTCGTGGTCGGACGGCGCGTCGAGCGTCACAGCTCCGATGGTCGGATCGGTCGCGTTGCTCAGAAACACGAGCTTATCGCAGCGGCGACCCCACGTGTCTTGAATCGCGCGGGCCTTTGTCTCGTGGTGCGGTGAAATTGTGTTGACAAAGCAGAGCACGCGCGGGGCGTCGCGGGCAGGTGCGATGCGCACCAAGTCCAGCGCCGCATTCGACGCGTCCAGGTCCAGTGCGCAGAGCTCGGGCCGCACACTGCGCTGTGACGCACGACCTCCAGTTGTATGACGCGCCATCATCATTAGCATCGCCCAGTAGAGCAGCGCCAGCCCGCATCGTTGCATACCGGTTTTGCTGTGGGCATCTTGTTGCCAAGATCGCGCCCGTCCAGCGGACCAATCCGGTCGTTCATAAAAAGCGAGCACAATGCTCTTTATTGAATCCTGTTTCGATCTCGTGCGAAGGCCGAATGGCAACCCCATCGACAACCGCAGTAAGGTTCGGCGATGAGGAGGATGTCATTCGGCCTTCTCGTGTCCTTGCAAACTAAAAGTGCAGAGCTTCACAAGCCCAAGAGCGACGCGACGCCCACAGTCCGACGTTGGTTGGGATTGGTCGCAATTCCAAGCATAACGTGTTATGATTGGACAGCTGGCGACAGGTGAAATGGAAACCAAACCCAAAGCATGCATCTTTATTGGTCAGCTTCCAAGGGCTTAGCGTTTTGATTGGACAGCTATGAAGAAATCGATCTTGCACCAACCTGGACATCGATTCCCACCCTAAATGCCCGATCTCGACGATCTCTCTTGCGTCCATGTCAACAAAGACATTGTTTGTGGGCGGGAATAGGGTAGCATTACAAAGACCGTGTATTTACGTGCTCTGGACCGCAAACTTCATGAGGTGCTCCATAAAGACCTTGAGGCTCACGTCGTCCGTGAAGATGACTTCGCCTTGGCCGTCGCCCTGCGTGTGCGAGTTGGACGGGTTGAGCTTGGCCATAAGGAAGCGCGATTGACTCTTGTGCTGGTCGCACACAATGTAGCGCGGGACAGGGAACCGCGAGTCCATAATGAGCTGCGCGTCGGCTTGCGGCGCTTCCAAGAGGTTCTTGAAATTGATGTGCTCGGCGTGCTCGTGGAACTTTTGATCCCGCCACGACGCAATCGTCTCGCCGTGGAAGACGACCACGTAAAAGAACGAGTCGAGGAGCAGAATCGTGTCGGCGCGCACCGACGCCGAGTCGAGGAGCGCGGGCGCGGGCGGCCCGTTGAACGAGTACGAGAGCAGCGAGGGCTGGATCATGACGAGCGAGTTGGTCGTGCACTCGCGCATGAGGCAGTGTCGGTACGTCGCGCTCTCGTCGGGCGAGTAGCCAAACACTTGGAGGAACTGGGACCGGCGCAAGTGAAACATAAACTGCGGGTAGATGGAAAACTCGCGCGAGAGGCGAAAGCTCGACGGGTCGTCCTTGCGGTAGTCGGCAAAGCGCGCGCCGAGCCGGATGAGCGACCGATCGATCCAGCGCATAATGTCGTTCGTCTCATCGCCGCGCTCCGACCGGTGCACCGCGATGCGCGTCATGAGCACGGCCGCGGCTTCCTGGTCAAAGCCGCGCTTGAGCGACTCAATGTCTTCCGGGTCCACCGACCACGGGCCACAGATCGTCGTCACGCGCGTGCGGAACCGACCGCTCGCGTGCTGGTAGCGCGTGATAAACTGAATGTACCGGCCCTTGCCCGGGTGCAGCGTCGACGTCGCGGGGTTGGTCACGTCAAAGTAGATGGCGATCGCCATCTGCGGGTCCAGCGCGCCGAGGCTCCACATGTTGGTGCCGCCGACGCCAATTTCCGTCTCGCTAATGTTCTTGGCGGGCAGCGCATTGTTGGTCTTCTTGAGCGCTGCGCACGGCCCAATCGCACCCGAGACCTTGAACTCGCGCGACGTGAGCACCTCGAGCGAGGCCGCAAACGCCATCGTCAGGTGGTTCTGGTCGCACTCGGCCGCCTCCTCCGAGAAGCGCGAAAACATGCGCCGGAAGCTCTCTTTAAAGACACTTTGGCCAAACGAGTCGGCGAGCACAATGACACCGCCCGTCTTGGCGACACAGACGCGCATCTCCATGACGCCACTCTGGTCGAGCGAGCACGCGAAGATGTCGACCACGTGCGCGTTCGAGACGCAGCGCTCGGCCAAGGCCGTGTAGTGCTCAATCGCCTTGGCCGACAGCGGCGCATTGCCCTTCTGGATGTCGGTGTGCGACCGAATGTCCTCGGACCGCTCGCGGTTGACGATCGCGCCAGGACCTGTCGTCGCGGGGCCGCCCACAAACATCATGATGCGCGCGCCCTGGCCACGATGCGTCGCTTCGAGGAGGCCGACGGTCACCGACATGGCGACGCCCGTCGCGCGCTGCGGGCGGTGGCCCGCGTTGACCGGCCACGGGTCGCGCTGGAGGTCTTCGAGGATCGACTCGAGCGTAAAGCCGCACTCGAGCACGGGGAGGAGGAACCGGGACGACGCCGGCGCCTGGACCGTCGCGGGCTGGCCGCCTTGGCCCGGGTGCCGCGTCGACGCGAGCCCGAGAAAGTCCTGGACCTGCTGCGTCGTAAAGTCCTTGTTGCCACGGAAGACGTGCGACTTGGGGCACTCGGTAAACCCGAGCTCGTGGACGTGCACCATGGTACCGTACGTCACAAGACCGACGAGCGCTTCGTCCGGAAGCAAGTTGAGCGTCTGCTGGATCGAGTCCTTGAGCTCGTCGAGCTCTTCTTCGGCGAGGCACGTGTCAATGCAAAAGATAAAGATCGGCGGCCCGGCCACGCGCTGCGGCAGCTCGTACTCGAGCGTCGAGAAGGACGGAATGAGCTCCGCGGGCAAGTTGGCCTCCGAGATGTGCTCGGCGTAGTGCGGCGGAAAGTGGTTGCGCGTAATGCAGAACGGGCACACCCACAGCTTGGACATAAAGTCGACCTGCGCAAACGGGTTGAGGATCGCCGCACAGCCCTTGCACTGGATCGGGTCGTACTCGACGGCGTCCGGCATGCCTTCGATCGGCTTGAGCGGCTGGAAGACGCACCCCATCGGTACCACGCAGCGCGTTTGCTCGAGCGCATTCACGGGCCAGTTGTTCCACGAGAAACGCACACCGTCCTTGGCCTCGTTGGCCTCAAAGTCCCACACGGGCGGGGCCACGACCGCGTGCTGCGAGCTCTGGTCCATTGAGGGCTGGCCACCGTAGTTTTGCCCATACTGGCCTTGGGGTTGGCCGTACTGGGCCTGCGGCTGGCCATACTGCGCCTGAGGCTGGCCATACTGCTGCTGCTGCTGCGCGTACTGCGGATCGTACTGCTGCGGCTGACCGTACTGCTGCTGCTGCTGAGCATACTGCGGATCGTACTGCTGCGGTTGGCCGTACTGCTGCGGCTGGCCGCCATACTGGCCCTGCGGGTAGCCGGGCTGCTGCATCTGAGGCGCTTGGAAATGCAAAATGGAAGCCGTAGACGTTTGCCGTCACAAAGAAGTCAAATTTCGTGGAGTCGTCTCATTGGTCAATACAGGTTTTACGACATTGTGATTGGCTATAAATCAGAAAGAAGCAGCTCATTGCCGAGTCGGAAACGGTCAGCTCATTGCCGTCTACCAGTGTGCGGGTGGGCATGAAATTCGGCAAATAATTGATCGCCCTTGCTTGCGTAATTAGTCTATTTACCGCTCTTGCAAGCAAACGAGGCAGAGCGCCAACCTGCACCACGTTGCCACGTTCGAGGCCGCTCGCTGGTGTATGCAGCCGAAGGATAGCAGCAGAAGTCGCTGATAAGTGAAAAAGAAGCCTGTGTCAGTCGTATCCTCGATGGAACAGAGATGTTAGCATCAACACCACGCGTCGTCATAGGCGGGAGCGCTTTTGCCTCGCGGCTCGCAGCTTATTTCTGTCCTTGTCCGCTTGCACTCGTACAATCTTGTCTCTGTCATTATCGCTGGAGCTATTGCTGGTCTCTGCTTTGTGTGATCTGGCTTCAAGCAGCGCCAGATGTCGTGCCCAAGAGATTGGGCCCTGGCAGGCCTCTACAACTGCTCTCACGACGCCTGGCACGTTCATTGTTCGTTCATCACCATGCAGCGCAGCCAAGTGTCGATGTGCGCAGTTGTGCTTTTTGCAGCGATGGCGTCGGCGCTTGAGTGCACGTCAGCGGACTTGGCGACCGTCACGTCGTCCGGCCTTACGTGCATCAACGCCGCGAGCCTCAACATTGCCGCCATGTCGTCCCAAGACCCCGAAGTGCTGGCCAAGATGTGCAAATACTCAGAATGCAAGTCGTTCTTTGCCGCGACACAAGCGTTGACGTGCACGGTGCAGAACCAACCGGCGTCGCTCGCGTCTCTCGCCTGCAGCGGCACCACGTCGTTGACACCGGCCATCTCCGTGGGCATCGTCTCGTGCCTGATGCTCCTCGTCATGCAGCTATAACGCAATGCCCACTGCAGAAATCTTAGTCGATTTTCTTATTTTTAGCGCGTTTTCCACCGTGAGCACAAGAACCGATCGCGGGTGCGGCAGCTGGCCGCGCAATCACTCGCTTGCTCAGAGAAGCTCTTTGAGAAGCTCGTTGAGAAGCTCGTTGAGAAGCTCTTCGAGGGCACACGCTAAACCTGCTCGCGGGTTGCGAGTCGATTCGCTTTGGAGGTGACTGTCGGTACCAAGGCGGGCACGGGGGGACACGGCAAGCTCGTTGCTTGGGCTCCCCACCACGCATAGAAGGCTAGCGTGCTGGTTTGGCTCTTATGCCAAGGGCCGCTTTTTATGAACCATTTCTCTTGCTTTTCTTGGAGCAGCGTCTCCCGACGGCTAATCATGTACATGGGACATGGAGGCTACTAGTACCAGACCAAGGCGATGGTTGCGCAAACGTCGTCAACGCCTTGGGTGTTTCGATGCATATTTTAGGCCGCATCCATCCAAAAGCTTGGGAAACGACGTGGTCAACCGCCGGCTCATCGCATCAACGGCAAGATTCAAGCGCCAAGATACTGGCTTTCTAAAGGTCAACGGCGACGGCTCCAAGTGTCGCGTCTCTTTGCCCCTAAACGTTATGAAGATCTGCGGGCGATCTATTCTAAGCGCGAAGGTCCCGCGCGACAAAACTACCTGCGCCTAAATTCTTGTGGCTCGGCAAAACGGCCTCGAAGCCCAGAGCTGACGACGCGGTGCTGGCATGGGCGAAACAAACACATAGATATGTCCCCGCAAATAGTGTCATTGCAAAGCCGGCAGGAGAGCTTGAGCAAAGCCCTCGTGGTTGGTTGGTGCCACTCTGGTGGGGAAAGTGAAGCGACCCTTCTCGAGTCCTCGGTGATAATGCTGCAAGGGAGTTGACAGCTTGCCACGAGGTCGATCCGTCGACAGAGACTGCCAATGGTATCGAGGATGTGCAGGCGAAGGTCGAATGCGGAAGCACTCTGTCGATGGACGTGAGGAGGACTTGGCGCGCTGTGACTCACACTATTCCTGTGGCGTGAGATAAACTTCTGTGGTTTCTGGATTTTTCGAGGTTTGTCCCAGAACCTCTGAGACGTGATGGTGGCAGACAGGGTTGGTCATTCGCCCTTTGGCCGCCACCTGCCGCGGACGTCGTCGCCGTCGCCGCTTCCTGCGCTCTTCCTCGACCCCGCCAAGATACGTCCACCACGAAAGCGCCCTCTTCGTCGAAAGTCGAGGCGATGCATACCCCGCAGCTTCACGTCTTCGACCTCTGCGTCCAGCTGCTCCGCGGCAAAGCGCTCGAGCTGAGCGGCCAGGCGCCCGACGCCGCCGGCGAGCGCTGGCACCTCGTCAAGCAGTGGATGCACTTGCAGTACGCGCTCGACGCATGGCGCTTCCGCGAACAGCCACCGGCGCTGCCCGAGCCTGTCGCGTTCCGCACACCGTCGGTCCGTGAAGAGTACGAGCAGCTCCAAGTACTGGGTACGGGTGCGTTTGGGTCGGTCGTGCTCAGTCGCGCCGTCTCAACCGACTTGCTCTACGCCATCAAGAGCATCGACAAGAGCAAGATCTCCGGCGACGAGGCTGCGCGGCTCCTCGTCGAGCGCCAAATCCTCTCGAATGCGTCGCATCCGTTCGTCATCCGCATGGACGGCGCGTTCGAGACCCCGACGCACTACCATTTCGTGCTCGAGTACTGCCCTGGCGGCGACATGTACTCGCTCCTCGAGGCGACGCCGCAGATGCCCGAGGCCCGCGTCATCTTTTACACGTCCTCGATCGTCAGCGCGCTCGTGTACCTGCACCACTCCCACGTAGCGTACCGCGATCTCAAGCCCGAAAACATCCTCCTCGACGCCAAAGGATACGTCCGGCTCGCCGACTTTGGCCTTGCCAAGCAGGCCGTGTCGCCCTCGGACACGACGTACTCGTTTTGCGGCAGTGTCGACTACATGGCGCCTGAAGTGATTCTCGGCGTCGGATATGGGCTCCCCGCCGACGTCTGGAGCCTCGGCTGCGTCGTCTTCGAGATGCTCACGGGTCTCCCGCCCTTCTACACGACGCGTGGCCGGCGCGTGCTCTTTGAGAAGATCTGCAAAGGCCAAGTGCTGTACCCGACGTACTTGTCGCCCGATGCGATCCGGTTCCTCCAGCGCTGTCTCGACTTGGACCCAAAAGAGCGCTTTACGGCCGAGCAGCTCCTCGAGCACCCGTTCTTGGCCAGCGTCGACTGGTACCAGCTCGGGATCCAGCAAGTGCCCGTCCCGTTCGTGCCAAACCTCGCCAACAAGACGGACACGCACTACTTTGCGGACCAGTTTACGTCGCAGGCTGTGGCGGGCAACTTGGTCGACACGAGCGATGACTTTAGCGACTTCGACTGGCACCGCACGCCGCTGGAGGATGTCGTTGTTAGTTAGTCAAACCGTAGTCGATTCCATTCCCATCGGCGTATTAGTATATATTCCATTCCTCCTGCGTCTTGGATGAAGCTGTCGGGGGTCGTCGGCAAGGGCAGTGTAGATTCCCTTGGTCGTCGGTCGCATTTTGGCCAATGGCACCTTGAAAACACACTGGATTGGTCATACTGCAAAAAATGCAACGTCATTTTGGCCAATGAAATCGGTAGATTCAAAATAGCAATCTTGCACCTTGAAACGGATAGCCGTAAAGCGGGGTCGAGCATGGACACGCTGGTCGACCTCGTCGAGAGGATATGGGCAACCGTTCTCGCAGTCTGCTGCTACCTCCCGCCGGAAGAGCTCCCGATGCTGGACGAGACGCCCCTCGCCCGTGCGCTGGCGCCTCCCATGCGCGCCTCATGGCTCGTCCTCTAGGGCGACTGGACTGTCCGCGCCTCATCATGATGGTCGATGACCACCCGCTCCGCGTCAACACGGGTGATGGCGTCACGGGCGTAGACCACGTCCGGTCGGTGCTCGAGAGCCTGCACATGGGCGTCGGCGCCGACGAAGTGGCCGTGACCCGCGACGGCGACCAATGGCTCGCCACCGTGCGAGCGACGCTCGGTGCGCGTACGTCGACAGCCTTCTTGCATCGTCGGTACAAAGAGACGCGTGCACCTAGTTCTGGCCCAGGGCGGCGATGCCTCTGGTCACCGCGCCGTCTGCGAACGTGTGTACACGTCGCTTCGACGCCGCCTCAAGGCCCGCGACATTGCGCTCCGCGGCCTCTGGCGCGTCTGGCTCGAGAAGGAGTTCCGTTGCCTCTTCGCGGGCCTTCGCCTCAAGCATGCAAGCGCCAAGAAGTGCTTGGTGCTCGACCTCGACCGGACGTTGTGGTTTCGCTCGTTCGAGGTATGACGACTCGATGATGCATGCATGCATGTTGCGAGGGCTCATACAACATGGCAGCCGATCCCGAACGTCGACTTCGTCGCGGTCTTGCGCATGACGTACTCGAAGCTACAAACCACGATCTACGTCTCGCTCCGGCCAGGCGTTCACTACTTGCTCCAGACGCTCGCCGTCTACTACGACCTCGTTGTCTTTACGGCGAGCGAGAAGAAGGCACGATGCACGAGCAGGACATGCATGGAGAGAACGCTATTTGAACGCAATCGCTGGGTAGTTTACGGACCTTCTCATTGACGAGATGGACACAAAAGGCAACATTCAGTACCGCCTGTACCGAGACGCGTGCTCGCTGCACGAAGAGGTTCCTGTTGCCGCGTCACTCGGATTGCTCACTGATGCTAGTAGCGCGGCCACTTGATCAAAGACCTCACGCAGCTCGGCCGTGACATGAAGGACGTCATCCTCATCGACGACACAGCCGAAGTCGCCGCCAAGCACCCCGCCAACGCTCTCATTTGCTCCGAGTGCGCTGCTCGGAAAGGCGACGTGGACGAGTACTGACCGGACGGGTTCATACTAGGTATCGCGGGAGCAAGACGGACATTGAGCTCTACAAGATCACAATGGCGCTCGAGCGACTCGCTTACGTCGAGGTATTCTGTGCATGATGCAATGTGCTATGATATTTTGTTGCGGGTAGGATGTGCGCAGCCATTTGAAGCATTTACCGTCCATTCTGCGGACCATGGACGTTGCCAACCCCGTGGCCTAATAGTACGACCGTCGGAACGAAAGACGATCATCTCATTACGATGCTATTCAAATGGTGTTGTGCTGGCTTCCTACTGCTGGTGCAGCAGCCGCAGCTCGTCTTGGTTGAGCTGCATCTCCCGTAGCGAGCGCAAGAGTGGGATGCGCTCGCCCGACGTCGACACGCGCGCCTTGGCCACGTCCTTGTACATGACACATATCGCAACGAGCGCGCAAACGACGTTGCCGACCGCCATGATGAAGAAGGGTGCTGTCGACGTCCAGTGGTCAAAGAGGTACCCGCCGAGCTTGGACGTGATGAGAATCCCGATCGTGCCGCAGAACGAGTACGCGCCGCTGACGCTGCCACGGAGCTGCGCGGGAATGGCCTTGGACGTGACGAGCGAGAGCGACGAGACGATGATGCCCATCTCGCCGACACCGACGACAATCGCGACAGCAAACATGATGGGCGAGGTCGGGTCGGTCGATGCGTACATCCAAAAGTACCCGACGAACCCAATGATTGTCGAGAGCAAGACGACCAATGGACGGTACAGGCGGTCGCCAATGTAGCCAAAGAGAGGCGCGGCGACGAGCGCGGCGGTCTGCACGACGCCGCCAACGATCGACGCCGTGACGTACGCCTTCCGGCAGTCGTCCTTGATGTCGGGCGCGTTGACGTCGGTCGCGTCACACAACTTGTTTTCAATGTAATACTTGTAGACCCAGAGCGGCAAGAAGATCGTAATGATGATCGTGTCGCCGCGCGCGAGGAAGCTGCCCATGTAGCCCAAGAGGACCTTGCCGTCGGACGCGGCGGCGACGCCTGCCTTGAAACCTTCCAGAAACGTCGGCGGCCGGTCGTCGCCCTTGGACTGCTCCAGTCCAGTCGTCTCGTGGTCGTGGGTGAGCAGCGCCGAGTCCTTGTTGGTGGACTTGGGCCGGAGCGCGTAGAGAAGGAAAAAGCCAAACGCAATCGAGACACCGCCGACAATCGCATACGAGATGCGGAGGCCGTCGACGACCGATGCAAACTTGGTCGGGAGCGGAAGAAACACAAACACCGCGAGGAGTGCGCCCACGCCCGACATGAGCCCGACGAGGCCACTGATCTTGCCCCGGTCCTAAGCAAAAGAAAGCGATAGTATGGCAGGCCACTGCAGGAGGGTGCCGCTGCGTACGCTTTCGGCCGCGTAGTCGGCTAGCACCGCCGTGAGCATCGATGACGTGGCGGCCGCACCGAGCGCGTATAACGCGCGGTAAGCGATCAGATCTGAGTTGTAGCTGGTCGCATATGGGTAGGCGAGGAGGCCGGCGCCGATGAGGACAAAGCCGAGGCCATAAATGCCGTGGCGGCCAATGCGGTCGCTGTAGACGCCCCAGACGTAGACCATGATGAGCGAGACGCACTCGTCAAAGAGCGTGAGGTTGCCCGAGATGTCGCCAATCTTGGTCACGGGCACTTGCAAAATGTCGCCGAGCACGAAGCCCTGTGTGGACGACGTTATCAAGACGCGAGAGGCTTGGAGTCGTGTACCTGCGTCGAGCTGAGGAAGACGTACATGCAGATCGCGAGGCCCGACGCGAGGACGAACGCGACAAAGTTGAGGCCCGTCACATTCTCCTTGAGCGCAATGAGCTTTAGGAACTTCCACGTCCGGGTCTCGGCCGTTGCGTACAACATGGGCAATTTGCAAGTGGGCGGCGAGCTGCAACCTGGCTGCCATTGCATCTGATTGGCGTGTGACACGTTCCGTAGCCTTTGATTGGCTATTCACTTTGCCATCCAAGAAGATCCGGATCGATGGCGTGGGCGATACATGTACTTCTTGGATCACTTTGTACCTGGTCGGTCCCTATCAACTGATTCCTTCTCGGCCCTTTTCGTTTCAGGGAGTAGCTCACGGGGGTAGCTTGAGATTACTCTAGTATACGACTATATAAAACGAATGGACGGCAGTCCAACGCACCACTTGAGCGGCAAAAGCCAAGGAGCAAGTGTACCCTCCAACGTCAAAGGTCAAACAACGTCATCATGTTCACATCAAATATGGAATACTTCGCCAAAGTGGTGGCGTCTAATGGAGGCGGAGCTCGGGCTCTTCAAACTGCACTTGGCGCAGCGTGCGCGTCGTGCCGTCCTCGTTGCTGACTTCCTTGGTCTTCTTGATGTCCTGGATCGAGACGTAGATGGCAATGACCGCTGCGAGCACGTTCACAATCGCCATGATGAAGAAGGGCGCCGTCGACGTCCAGACGTCAAAGAGGTAGCCGCCGAGCTTGGACGTGATGAGGATACCGATCGTGCCGCAGAGCGAGTAGGCGCCGCTGACACTGCCACGGAGCTCGGCCGGGATCGAGCGCGACGTGACGAGCGAGAGCGACGAGACGATCATGCCCATCTCACCGACACCGACGACCGCGGCAATGTAGAGCATGTTGCTCGCGGTCGGGTCGGGCGACACAAACATCCAAAAGTACCCGACAAAACCAATGAGCGCCGAGAGGAGCACGATGAACGGACGGTACACCTTGTCGAGGAGGAAGCCAAAGATGGGCGCACTCGCGAGCGCCGCCACCTGCACGACGCCGCTGACCATGGCGCCCGTGATGAAGGCGCTGCGGCACTCCTTGCGAAAGTTGGGCGAGTTGGCGTCCTTGGCCGCGCACAAGTTGTTTTCAATGTAGTACTTGTAGATCCAGAGCGGGAGGTACGCCGTGATGATGATCGTGTCGCCGCGCGCGAGGAAGCTGCCAATGTACGCGAGGAGCACCTTGGGGTCCTTTGCGGCCGCAAAGCCAGCCTTGGCACACGTGCGGAAGCTGGGCTTCTCGACGTTGACCGTCTTGGGCTGCTTGGCGTCTTCAACGTTGGCCGGCGACAAGAGCGCCTCGCTGTTGGCGAGCACGACCTTCTTGGGCCAGAGCATACCGATGAGGAGGACGCCAAACCCGATCGAGATGCCGCCGACGAGACCGAACGCGTACTTGATGCCTTCGACGGAGCCGCGGAACTTGGCGGGGATCGGCATAAAGACAAAGACGGCGAAGATCGCGCCGAGACCCGACATGAGACCAACGAGACCACTGAGCTTGCCGCGACCGCCCTCCGCCGAGTAGTCGGCCAGCACCGCCGTGAGCATGCACGAGGTGGCCGCCGTCCCGAGCGCAAACACAAAGCGGTAGAGGACGAGATCGGTGCTGACGCCCGTCGCGTACGGGTACAGAATGAGCGCGAGGCCCATAAAGCCAAAACCGGCGCCGTAAATGAAGTTGCGGCCGACGCGGTCGCTGAGGATGCCCCAGACATACACCATGACGAGCGAGATGCACTGGTCAAAGAACGTGAGGTTGCCCGTGATGTTGCCGAGGTTCTTGGACGAGACGTTGAGGATGCTGCCGAGCACGAACCCTTGGGACGCGTTGAGGAAGACATACATGCAAATGGCAAAGCCGGACGCCAGGACAAAGCCGATAAAGTTGATGTACGTCACGTTCTCCTTGACCGCGATGAGCTTGAGGAACTTCCACGAGTTGGTTTCTGCATTCGAGTACAGCATCGTGCCGAGAACGTCGTGTTTTGCCGGACAAGGCGAATTGGAGAATGAGGGAGTCGACGTCGGGCTTGTTTTGGAGCTCGAGACTACAGCCAGTTAATTTGTTGAAGGTCGGAGAGGCCGCCTGCGGCGTGTGGCTGCGCTTCGTGCAGCTAGCATATCTCCTGAGATAAAGCGCGGAAGATCGCGAGAGCAGCAACGTTCAACTTCAGGATATGTGTGGGTCAATGGGCATGACAAGTCGTCCACGTGTAGACTGGAGGGCTCGGGCCAATGAGCAGGCAGAACGTTTCGTATTGGACAGCTCTCGTCCAATGGAAACGCGCCGTAAACGCTTTGATGATCGATCACGTCAGGAAGCTGAAAAGATCGCGTGGAGACCATGGGTTCAGTCCTGCGTGCGAACTTCGGCATATTTGCTGCGTTAGAGACACATGCGTGTGTGCGGTGATGACCGCACATGTGCTGTGACAGGGTGGCTGCGGTTCAAACAGCTCGTGCTGGGATTTCTGTATGAAAACCACTCAATCCGCATCCAAAGGCATGCGCACACCAACCGCGGGCCCGGATCGAACGTTTGTGCATCAGTGCAGCACCAGTACATAAAAATTCGTGTACTACGTAGCACATCGTTTTCTATAGCATCAAATACGAGTGTCCAGAGGCTTCAACTTTCCGCCCGTGTACATCTTGAACTTTGCCACCCGCCCCGAATAGAGCCGCTGCATATTCCAGCGCGGTGGTCACCCAGACACAGACCCAGACAGGCGAGTGCAGGACTTTGAAGGACCCTCTATGATACAAAACCCATTAGCATGGTGTTGCGAGCCCCCGACCCTGCTCATCGAACGTTTTCACACTGTAAATCTAGTGTCTACACTATAATTATACGCCATAAACCATTGGATGCGATGCTCGTTTATATAAATGTATGCAGGCAATCGCAAGGTCGTGCAACTCTTCACACACGAACTCTGATATCCCATCACCAGATGGTCTAGCGGACATGTACAGGCCACGATGCAATTTGCAAGGTACCATATGTATCGTATGGCCCGGTACATGTCCTGTACCACTGGCGTACCGGTACGCATCTCAGTGCACGAAACACTCGGCGAGTAAGCCATCGTAGCTTGTACCTTTATCCACGTACGAGTGCAGCGTACGCGAGACTCGACTTCAAAGCCCCCTCCTCACATTCTTGGGTACCGGTAGCACAAACCCTGGTCGCGGACTAAGCCATCGCGCCTGTCGGCATAATCATCTTGGCTCCATCTTGCTCTCATCGTGTCCGTGACGTGATCGATCATCAAATCGATTACGGCCTATTGCCATTGGCCACAGGGTGCTCCAATCACGCAGCGAACTGCTTTGGATTGGATCGAACCCGCACGCGCATACCACCACTGCAGCTCCGATCGTAACGTTAGAGATTTCTCGCCGCTTCCTACGCCGATGGCTTCAACTTGGTCGCTGACGCAGACGCATCGCTTCTCCACCCCTTGTATGAAACCAACTAGAGGACATGTTGACCAAGCCCTAGCGCCTTCACCCGAACAGTATAAATGAAGTTGTTGGCCCTGAATGCATCGCGACGACACTTTGAAGCCCAACTCCCTCATTCTCCAATTCGCCTTGTCCGGCAAAACACGACGTTCTCGGCACGATGCTGTACTCGAATGCAGAAACCAACTCGTGGAAGTTCCTCAAGCTCATCGC